AGATTCAATGTTACCCTGGAAATAGTGGATTTTAATCGCCTTAGAACAGCACGTAGTGAGTTTTGTGAAATGGTTAAATTCCTGCTCCCACCAGATAGATCCATGTATCAATATATACAAGTGGCTCCTCACCGTCAACTGACGCCAGAGTTAGTGGCCCTAACCTTAGAGATTGTATATAACAAGCTGATAAAGTGAGGTCTATCACCTCACCTTAAAGGACCCCTATAGGCACCCAGACCACTTCAGGCTAATGAAGTGGTCTGGGTGCCAGGTCCATCTAGAATTAACCCTGCCTGCTGTAAACATAGCAGTTTCAGAGAAACTGCTATGTTTACTTTAGGATCAATCCAGCCTCCGGTGGCTGTCTCACTAACAGCCGCTAGAGGCACTTCCGCTTCTGTGATTTTCACAGTGAGAAGACGCCAGCATCCATAGGATCCATAATGGTCTGGCTAAATGCGCGCACGGCTCCTGCCGTTCATGCGCATTCAGCCGATGACATCAGAAGAGGGAGGAGAGTCCCCAGCGCCGAGGGAGCCTGGCGCTGGAGAAAGGTGAGTGTTTAACCCCCTTCAGCCCGGCAGGAATGGGACCCTGAGGGTGGGGGCACTATAGTGGTCCTTTAAAACGCTACGGCTAAAATTTTAGCTTTCAGTCACACCCTTGTGTCTACTAAAAGCTGCACATATAGACTTGTTCCACCATGACCCCTTTTAAATGCTGTAGTGGTCATTGTGGTTGGAGTAACCGTTAAATGAAATAAATAATGACCCTACCACAACAAGAGGACATAGTCTTAAACTAGAGGGACAAAGGTTTAAAAATAATATCAGGAAGTATTACTTTACTGAGAGGGTAGTGGATGCATGGAATAGCCTTCCAGCTGAAGTGGTAGAGGTTAACACAGTAAAGGAGTTTAAGCATGCGTGGGATAGGCATAAGGCTATCCTAACTATAAGATAAGGCCAGGGACTAATGAAAGTATTTAGAAAATTGGGCAGACTAGATGGGCCGAATGGTTCTTATCTGCCGTCACATTCTATGTTTCTATGTTTCTTTCCCAAAGCAAGTATATTTCTGTGGTGTGTGAATGTATAAATACACGGTACATCTGTGTGTGGATGCAGATATGGATAGAAAGATAGAAAGATAGAAAGATAGATAGATAGATAGATAGATGAGTTGTGTGTTAATGAAGAGGGTAGAAGTGTAGACTGTCTGTGAATGTTGTAACAGGTGGCATTTAGAATGTAAGGCCAAAATAGCCAAACTGACTGAATTGATGGGATCATTTTTCTAAATTGTCTATTTTGGCCTAAATTTTCAAATTATGTTTGCATTCACTTTGAATTCCAACCAATTACTTACTTTAGTGATAAACATCACAATTCATTTCAGTCCATGCACAGCCAGGGCACACAATGTAAATGGGAAGAACCAGTGGCAGAACTTGCACAGAGAGGGTTGCGGTACAAGGTGGTTTTAGGGCACCCCTGTAACGCAAGGCAAGCCAAAAGGTAGATCCTCAAGTGTCATACAGCTTGCACTATGCTTTTCCAGCTAGGGATCTAGCTTTAGCCCATCCTTCTAGGGCTGTAATTGGGAGCAGTGTCTGTGTGTGTGTGTTTAAATGTAAGCATGTTTTTGTATGGAGTAAGTGTGTGTGAATGTAGGTGTGTATTTGTTTGTACTGTTGGTGTCTGAATGCAGTTAGTGTTTGTATGCAGTTTTGAATGTAGTGTCGGTGTTTGAATGTAGGTGTGCTTGTGTGTGTGTTACCATTTGATTCCACTGGCGTATTAGCATGCTGTTCTGACATTTAGAATGCAGACGTGTGTTTGTGTGTAATGTTGGTATTTGAGTGAACTGAGATATACAGATACCACACAGATACAGCCACACAAACACAGATACACACATACACAACCACACAAACAAATACACATACATGCTGACACAAACAGATATACACAAACATATATACACATGCAGATAAACACTGACACACAGCTAAACATGCATACTGACACACATTTTGAAGTTATAATTTACATATCTGTAGCAACCCTCCGGTTTCTATACTTTTTGGGTGCAGGAGGGTGGTTTCCCTGGGGTCTTGTGGATCTGGATGCTGGGAGTCTGGAGCTAGTAGAAGCTCTCATTCCACTCCCCTGTTCTCGCTGTCTCCTCCTAGTCTGTGCGGCTCTCGCTGTTACCTGGGAGGAAGTGACCCGTACTCACTTCATCCCAGGGCTGCCAATTTAAAATGCAGCGGTATCTGACCAGAGATGCCCACTGGGTGTCTCCGACTGTTCCTGGTATGGCCACACCTGTGGTAGTTCCACCTTTGAGGAGAACAGAAACAGGTTTTCGTTTCCCAATATCTATGATTGTTGTTTTAGTTTCTAATTTTCCTGTGCTTATGCTCAAATGACAGAAAAGAGCAACATTTATAATCATTTTATTATTTACTATTATTAATTGTATTATTTATTTTTCACAAAATCATGTTTTCTCACAAAAACATATTTGTTAAACATATGGGGACAAATAAACAAAATATAAATCCTGAATAGTGACCATCCCCCTTTAAATTTTTTATCAGGCAAATGTAAATATTACCCTCATGTTTTGTTGTTGACGTGATCAGTTAAATAAACAAACATCATGGTTTTGGGGCCCTGTCCTGCCTTCTTGGATTTGGTCCCTGTGGTGTTATTCACGATTAACCGAACTCCTGCCCGGAGTTTTAATCTGCCAGTATTGAAGGGTATGGGTTATGCTTGCCAGAGGCAAAATTTTTATTGTACTTGCCCCATTGCCTGTCACTGATACCAGTTGCAAATGCCATTAACAGGCATTTCTGATAAAACCAAGTGTAGCTCAGGGGAGCCCAAAAGGTAGGTCACCAGCTATGGTGGCTCTAGAACTCTCACGATGCAATGTTTCTTGTTACCATTTCTTTTATCTGTTGAAAGAAACAGGTTACATGTGTATGTATATGTATATATATATATATATATTTATATATATATTTTTATTTATTTTTTTATAACACCCCAATACTTCTGAAGATGTATGTGCTAGTGAAAGATTGTCCTGCAGCATTGCTTCATCCCTACAATTTTCCAAAGGAAACAGTTTTATTGGTGTGTTTGATCCTAAGGAAATTAGGAAAATGTCAATCTATCCCCCTATAATTACAAAAAATAAAAGGGTCTGCAACTACGAGTCATTTAGATCCTGTGTTTTGCCTCATTACACTTTAGATATAGATAACACCCTCCTTACGTAACCTGACTGCATGAAACAGCAATCCAGCCTGCCATCAGTGGGGGAATGTACTGCCTAAAACATCCCCTGAACCTGGTCTGCTATCAGTGGGGGAATGTACTGACTGAAACACCCCCTAAATTCAGTTTGCTATCAGTGGGAGAATATTCTGACTGAAACACCCTGTGAATCCAGTCTGCTATCAGTGGGGGAATGTACTGACTGAAACACCCCCTGAATCCAGTCTGCTATCAGTGGGGGAATGTACTGACTGAAACACCCCCTGAATCCGGTCTGCTATCAGTGGGGGAATGTACTGACTGAAACACCCCCTGAATCCGGTCTGCTATCAGTGGGAGAATGTACTGACTGAAACACCCCCTGAATCCGGTCTGCTATCAGTGGGGGAATGTACTGACTGAAACACCCCCTGAATCCGGTCTGCTATCAGTGGGGGAATGTAGTGACTGAAACACCCCCCTGAATCCGGTCTGCTATCAGTGGGAGAATGTACTGACTGAAACACCCCCTGAATCCAGTCTGCTGTCAGTGGGGGAATGTACTGACTGAAACACCCCCTGAATCCGGTCTGCTATCAGTGGGAGAATGTACTGACTGAAACACCCCCTGAATCCAGTCTGCTGTCAGTGGGGGAATGTACTGACTGAAACACCCCCTGAATCCTGTCTGCTATCAGTGGGAGAATGTACTGACTGAAACATCCCCTGAATCCAGTCTGCTATCAGTGGGGGAATATACTGACTGAAACACCCCCTGAACCAGCCTGCTATCAGTGGGAGAATGTACTGACTGAAACACCCCCTGAATCCGGTCTGCTATCAGTGGGGGAATGTACTGACTGAAACACCCCCTGAATCCGGTCTGCTATCAGTGGGGGAATGTACTGACTGAAACACCCCCTGAATCCAGTCTGCTATCAGTGGGGGAATGTACTGACTGAAACACCCCCTGAATCCGGTCTGCTATCAGTGGGGGAATGTACTGACTGAAACACCCCCTGAATCCGGTCTGCTATCAGTGGGAGAATGTACTGACTGAAACACCCCCTGAATCCGGTCTGCTATCAGTGGGGGAATGTACTGACTGAAACACCCCCTGAATCCGGTCTGCTATCAGTGGGGGAATGTACTGACTGAAACACCCCCTGAATCCTGTCTGCTATCAGTGGGAGAATGTACTGACTGAAACATCCCCTGAATCCAGTCTGCTATTAGTGGGGGAATATACTGACTGAAACACCCCCTGAACCAGCCTGCTATCAGTGGGGGAATATACTGACTGAAACACCCCCTGAATCCAAACTGCTGTCAGTGGGAGAATATACTGACTGAAACACCCCCTGAATCCAGTCTGCTATCAGTGGGGGAATATACTGACTGAAACACCCCCTGAATCCAATCTGCTGTCAGTGGGAGAATATACTGACTGAACTCCCCCTGAATCCTGTCTGCTATCAGTGGGGGAATATACTGACTGAAACACCCCCTGAATCCAATCTGCTGTCAGTGGGAGAATATACTGACTGAACTCCCCCACTGCACAGACCAGCAGACCTGGATAGAATGTATCCAGAAAGCTGCAAGCAATGGAACGTTGAGAGCTTGCCCGCTGCCGATTGGCTGCCTATCCCAGGCCCCATCCAATCAGCAGCCGGGGAAAGTCTTGTCATGTAAGCAGGCTGGGAAGCCACCAGCGCATTAGGAGTAGAACAGTCAGTAAGTCTCACCTAGAGGCTGCAGCAGCCGGCTTCTCTGAGTGCAATGCGCTGCCTGCCCAGCCAGGCTTGACTTCCCAGTTTCTCTCAGCAACCAACCTACACAGGAATAACTGCTCACATTCTCACTGACACACACAGCTGCAACGGTGAGTTTAGTATTCTGCATTCTGTCCCTTTTCTGCTTTTTAATTTTTGCACCATATTTCATTATTCAGCTTTAACTATTTTCTTACCTCCTTATCTGCCCCAAGTTTCTTTAGATTGTGCTGTGTTGAGACTTGATGCTGACTAGCACTATGATCATGTATGTTACATGTATGATTGCAGGATCAGTCATGAATCCCTGCTCCCCTTATCTGGATTTCTCACTGGTTAGGGATGTATGTAACATGTATGTTTGCAGGATCTGTCATGCAGCCCTGCTCCCCTTATCTGGATTTCTCTCTGGTTAGGGACGTATGTTACATGTATGATTGCAGGATCAGTCATGCAGCCCTGCTCCCCTTATCTGGATTTCTCACTGGTTAGGGACGTATGTTACATGTATGATTGCAGGATCAGTCATGCAGCCCTGCTCCCCTTATCTGGATTTCTCACTGGTTAGGGATGTATGTTACATGTATGATTTCAGGATCAGTCATGCAGCCCTGCTCCCCTTATCTGGATTTCTCACTGGTTAGGGATGTATGTTACATGTATGATTGCAGGATCAGTCATGCAGCCCTGCTCCCCTTATCTGGATTTCTCACTGGTTAGGGATGTATGTTACATGTATGATTGCAGGATCAGTCATGCAGCCCTGCTCCCCTTATCTGGATTTCTCACTGGTTAGGGATGTATGTTTGCAGGATCAGTCATGCAGCCCTGCTCCCCTTTTCTGAATTTCTCTCTGTTTGGGGAGAGAGAAGGGGGGAGAGGGGAGGAGGGTAGCAGAGAGGAATGTCTGCCACCCAGGTCTCTGTCACCCTAGAAATACTTGGGAGACTTAATTAGTTTAACGGGACCAGGAGGCTAAGTGTGAAAGAGGCTCACAGTCTGCTTTTAGTTTGGGCACCAGTTGCTTAATTAACCCTTCACTCCAAAGAGTCCTCCTGTACCTTGCTCTCTACCTCCCTCTGCCGACCGTGTGGCTGCATTGCGATTTAAAGTGTTGCTTCAATATATATTTTATTTAATATTTTAAAATGTTCATATTTATGTATTTGTATGTTTAGAATAGATTGTATGCTTCTTGTTGTGGCATGTAAAGCTGGCTTTAGAAGGGTTTTTTTTTGTTTGTTTTTTGTTTTTTTAACCAGCTGATTTCTGTTTTGGCATGGCCAAATACTTAAACTCTACTCCCCTGAGTTCACAGCTTCATCTGGCGCCAGGCGTGTTAACTATAATGGACTTGTTGAGCTTATTGAAAACAAAAGTCGAAAATAAATTGCATTTCCCCTGGGAGTTTGGGGGAGGATAAAGTCTGTTGGTTAAATCGTATATTACTTAAATGGAAGTAGAGGTTAAAGAGCACAGCGCCCCCTGTCTTCCTGATTGCTTTACAAGCTGTTCAGGGCTGGGTGCTTGTGTGTATTTTGTGTGTGTGTGTGTATTGTATTGTCTGATTGTGTGTCTGAAGACTCTCAGTATTGCTTTCACATGTAATGCCATGTATCAAACTCTGTCAGAAGGGATGATCTGGAAACATTTATTTTGCTTGGAAATAGGATTCTCTAAAGGGGTCATAAAGCAGATTTCAAGGTTTTAGAAATACAAGATTGTAGCATTTGTATCTATGTAAAGAGAATGGCATGATTCAGATCTGCACACCCCATTGCTTTCAGCATAGCTAGAAAGGCTGCACAGCCTGTGTCTATGATTCTGTTTAACCTGGCAATGCAATGTTATTTCTGGGGGTTTTAAATTGCTCACATGCCTATTTAAGCAACCAAAGGGGGATTGTTCTGTGGATCAAGACTCTTGCATTTGAGGGTTGGCATCCAGCAGAGTTTCAGTTTGCCAAACCCTTAGCACTAAATATGCCAGTAGATGCATCTTCGTGTGTGGAAGACAGACCAATAAAATTCAGTTTTTGTCAAATAAGGACATAACTAACTTCGTGATTCTGTTTAACCTGGCAATGCAATTGTTATTTTTATTTATTAAATTGCTCCATGCCTATTTAAGCAACCAAAGGGGGATTGTATCTGTGGATTCAAGACTCTTGCATTTGTTGGCATAGAACAAAAGCTATTGTGCACGTGTGTCAGAATAAAAAGGTTTAACTAACTTCTGCTTATTTATTGGCCTTCCAAAACTCCCAATAAAACCTAAATTTAAAGGTGTTGGATAAACAAAGCTTTGTGACTGGAATAAGGTTTTCTTCTGCATTGGTTATTTATTTTATCTATTTTTATTATTTCACTTAGCTGCTAGTGAGCAAACACAAAATGTCTGTAAACTGTGGTCCCCTCTGCTTTTTTTTCTTTCCTATATCCAGTTACTTTTATATATGCAGTGAATGCCTTCTAGATTTGATGTTTGTTGCATGCATCTGTGACAGTACTGATAGAGGTGTGTGTACATATTATGGATTGCAGGAATATATCATCTTCTTGTCTGTATACTGTGGATGTTCAATGATTCGGAGTATCTTTTGTGTTCCTCTTCTGTTGTGGAACTTGCATGCAATTAGCAATGTGTGGGGCTGTGCTGTTATAAACAGAATGTGAATTTTGCTTATTTACCTGTATTCCAAATGCAATGTACTAGATAGCATGACCCTGAAATGGTTACAATTTGTTTCCACTAGACAAACACACAAATTGTTGGTTTGTGAAAGCAGTGAGTGACTTGTCAGAATTCTGGAAATGTTTTGAAAATAATTAATCACATTCCAATGCTATGTTAATGAATACTTCTTAAATGGGACCACGTTTAACCCCCCCCTCCTTGGTTTTTCCCTCTTGTTTAGACAAAAGGTTTGAATTTTCAGAGATGTAGATTTGTTTAATTTTTTTTCATGTCTGTGCACATTACTTCATATATTTTTAATGCACACATGCAGCCCCACAGAAAGCCTGCCCATCTGTCTTTTTAACAGGCCGAGATTATAAGAGGGTGTGAGTTTCAGACTCCAGATGTGACAGCTGTTCCCTGTCACTTGGATGACAACTGGTCTTTTTCCAATAACTTTCTTATCCCCTATGTATGTTTGCCGTGGTGTCGATAATGCTTTGTCCTCTACCAAAAGTGTACTTTTTTTTTATTTTTTTTTATTTTACATTTTAATATATATTCTCTATCTACAAACAATAATGCTTGCGTCTCTTTCTGTTATGAGACATTTATGCCAAATGAAATTCCTGATTCAGCTAAATGTTTTTGCTTTTGTGACGTCTTTTTGGAAGGTTCCAATTTCGAATGAGAATGGAATATATAGTTGGGTAGAGATATTAAACAGTGACTATCAATCTCTCTCTAAATTCGTCTATTTAGTCTATTGCCAGTGTGATCTCTGCTTATAATAAAGCCTTGGCCTTGAGGAGCGTAATCTGTAATTCTTCCTCCACTGGGGGTCTGAAGAGAGAGGATGTAGCTGATTGCGAAAAGAGACACTCTACAATCAACTTGAGACACAGGGGGTTTCAGCTGGGGGTCTTTTCTGGGATCAAGGAGGATAACAAAAAAAAAAATCTGACGTTAAATATGGTGGCTAGCCATTCACATTTTCTTTGCCTGAGGAATAGTGTATACATGGAGAGACAGAAGTGAATGTTTATCTAGAATGGAATGGCCTCTCTAGAAAATATTTTGATAATGTCACATGGTGTTCTATAGAGAGTAACTATCTTGGGCACACTGGATTATTTTTTTTTTTTTCTCCTTTCTTTTTCATTGTCTGTGATTGTGAGTGAATATAGTGGCAATTCAAGGTTTTCGTTTAACAAGAAAAGCAATTAATATAGCTGAAGTGACAGATTCAATCAGCGCAGCCACAAAAGGCAGAGACAAAACAGTTTATCATGTTTTATCATCTGAGTGTAAGGAGTTGCAGTTTGTCTGCTTTATAATAGGACCAGTTATAAATGACCACTTAATAATAAAAAATAAAAAAAATCTGTTGAGGAGGGGGTCTTTATCTTTTCTCTCCCCATCCCCTCCACTCAAAATTAATGGTTTAACTATTAAAATTAGAGGCAAATGTATGTTAGAAAGCAGTGAGTCTCATTTTTTTTTTATTTTTTTTTATTTATATTTTTTTTTAAACCCTATTATTTGGGTTATTCACTACACTGGGAATTATCTCAGCTTTAACCAGGAGTTGTAGTTTGTAGGATAAACTAACAGCTAATGTTGCAGTTTGGCTATTTTGGCCTGACTGTCTTGTCATTTCTCAACCGATGAGTTTAGTGGTTGAAGCTATATAAGGGCTGAAATGGGGGCATCATTGAATCTCATTAGTTCATGACCCCAGGCCTACTTGGCATATGTAAAAAAAAAAAAAAATAAGAGAACTCTATGGGAAATGTCATTGTATTGACCTGTAATAGCTGAAAGATCTTCATCAGCCCTTTTGTGGGAAATATTTTTCGGGACACCATTTGAATAATATGTATGCTATGTACAACATCTGCCCTTGTAGTCTGATTCCAAATAAAGAGAAGTAGTATTACCCAGACAGGGCGTAGTTATTTCACAAATAAATATAAAAAGTGTATAATGTATTATATATGTTTAAAGTGATGTGTAAGCTAAGTTCAGCTTGACATCATGAAAACATGTTTTATAGAAGACTTTTCAAGAACGTATATTGCAAAAACTGATAACTCATCTAAAGTCTGCTAGAAAAAGCAATATGGCTGGTCTGGAACTTTGTACTATTTCAGATTATGGTGATCAATGGTTCCTATTTATTTAACCCCCTTAAGGACACATGACGTGTGACATGTCATGATTCCCTTTTATTCCAGAAGCTTGTTCCTTAAGGGGTTAAAGGAATTGCATGGGCACCATGACAACATAATCAAAATGAAGTTGTTATAGTGCTTAGAGGTCCCTGGGGCTCTTTTACCTGAAGGAATTAAACCATTTTAACCATAGATGTTGCTCTACAGCCCCAGATTACCCGTTGCCTGGCGAAATCTGGTTTCTTCAACGCAGTTTAGGAAACGTGGGGGGAGGGGGAGAATACTTTTTTCACTAACCTGATTCCAGCACTGATGTCCTTTGGTGCTGGGTCGGACTCCTCCTCTGACGACGTCATGGTGATCTGGAAACCGAATGCGTGAGTGCCACTCGCACGTTGGGCCTTAACGATAGAAAGCATTCATTCAACGCTTTCTTATGATTTTTTTTTTTTAACGCTAGAGGTTCCCATGCAAAGCGTGAGGACATCCAGTGTCGTCTCGCAGAGTTAAACGCCGTGATACTGCAGGAAGTGCCTCTAATGTCGGTCTTCCAGACAGCCACTAGACACAATCCAAACCCTGCAATGTAAATATTGCAGGTTCTCTAAAACGGGCAAAGACACGTCAACCCGAACACTTTAATGAGATGACATGGCCTGGGTGCTTTAATGTGTTCCTTTAAGGTAAGACTTCGAGCGTTCAAAAAAATCATTGAGATTAAGTTATTTTAAAGTAGAGTCCCTCTAAAGTTTCCTCCATGAACAGAAAGAACACATCAGGAAGAGACTCTTCTACCATAAACCCCGCAGAGCTAGCTGCTAATCTGTGCATGCACACAACTCTGCTCTTTCTGCATACTACATATGCATGCGGTGTATAGTTAAATGCATTATATACATACGTATGTTTGTATATTTCCCGAGTTAAATATTGATATCCTTCTGAACTCTAAATCTGTGAGGGTGTTTTTTATTTTATTTATTTTTTTTAATTTTTTTTTTTTTTTTTTATACTATACACGAAGCAACAAGTGAACTACAAATAAGATTATTTCCCTGCTGGAATTACTGTATACTGGATGAGATTTCTGTATGAATAATCACTTACTATCTTGTTATTGACCTTGCTGTACACGGATTTGTACATACAGGACTGTATTTTTATTAATATTAGCACTTTAAGCAGATATTAAGCACATGGTAATTTTTTGGCACTTGTCACTTTAAGATTATATATCTTCACTCTCGTGATATAGAAATTGGAGTTGTATTCAGGTATATGGAAATGTTCTGCTAATAAATCTTTATATTTTCTTTATGTTGAGTGCGGTATCAATTTTTGTATTTTGGGTGTTTTTTTTTTTTTTTTACCCTCTTCCCTATAATTTTTACATAATTTTATACTGGGCAGAAAGTGTCACAGGACAGCAGACATTTCTTTGTCAGACACTTCAAAGTAAAATGACTGTGTTACTGAAATGGGGGACTCAAAATATCAAGCTTTGCTGTGGCTCACACACTGTAAATTACCTGACTAATCCGGTTTCTTTTTTTCCCAATGCTGTTATCATTTTGAAGAGATCTGTAATTATTGTTAAATAATTGCATAGTCCTCTCTCCTTTCAAGGCCCATTGAAACAAGTTCTGTGTTTTAGCATGCTTTAATCATAAAGACTGTTCCTCCTTAACTAACCCTGATTGCATAATTAATGCTTAAAAACACCCAGTTGAAATCTTTAGTTTGGATTGGATTTTTGAAATTAGATTTTTTTTTTTTTTTTTTTTAATAAAATTATGAAGGGTGTTCATGTAGGTACTTGCAGTATACCGGATATTTTATACCATTTGAGTTAGGTTTTTTACGCAGACATAATTTTGTAATCTCAGATCCATTCCTTCAAAGTGTCACTCTTTAAGAGAGGTAGTCCCTCTTTTGGGCTCAGATTCCTTTTTCCCCCTCACTCTCATAATGTCCTTCTATGTTAGGGGTTTCAAATCTTTGGTGTGTAGGGGTGTCTGTGTGTTACAGGGGTTTCACAGCAACAAAACGAACAGTAATGAGTCTTTAAATTACAGTAAAGATAACATTTATGTTTATATTATATGGCATAAATTAAATTTTGGTAGCATACATGATTATCAGTAGGTTAGAAAGTTCCCTTTAAATGACTATGAAGAGAAGATTTCCATGGACAGAACTCTAGCCACACCATAAAAATTAAAACATTATTTTGGCTATTTGAAACGTTGGCAGGCACCGCATTAAAATTGGATCCATAACGTAAAATGTTGGCAAATCAAAGTTGGTTAAAATAGGTGATTCGTTGAAGAATTGCAGATCTTTAATTTTAAATGACACATTTTTGCAAAACTCAAAACACATTTAAATCTCTTTAAAATCCACACCGTCTCACTTTCACACACACCATGATCACTCAACAGTTTTCAGATCAGATGTGATTGTTTTTTCTGTTGTCGTTTCAAAGTGTTGGCCTTTCCCTAAGATGACTTCCGTCAATTTAACAAGGTTCCTTTCTAGCAATGGATCAATAGCTCCTGTTAAATTTCAAGGCCACTAGATGTGTGTGGCTACTTGCACAACAGAAATGGCTTCTAAACTAGCAGAAATGTAACTTGAAACTTCAGATCCTAGAATTCTTGGTTACATGAACTCTTCTTGGTCATGGTGAAATGTAGATGTATTTTGGGGGGGAAAGGAGATGTGCAGGGTTGTAATAGTTAATAATATGCATATTTTTTACCGCAATTTAATCCAATGAGAAACCTGACTGCCAGGTTTTTCTTCATTTTCTTTTTCTTTGCACAATACAGTTGGCTATCAAGTTTGGATTCATCTACTGCCAGTGAAACAACAAGATTATTAAATCTTGTGGGTGTGGGAGGAAATCACAGCAAATGTATCCCATAAAAGAATTAAAAAACAAAAAACTTAAGTCTGTCTGCTGCGGAAGTTATAATGCTGTGGGCATTGCTGCTATCTACAACACACAGAACATTCTAAGGGGAAAAATACCAGTTGGTGGGAGAACAGTTGCATGCTGGGAAGTATTTCCTCATGCACACGGCCAAAAGAAAGTGAAAGTGCACTTTTATATTAAAAGTATTCTAACTACTGCCTTGAGGTTTTGACGTTCAACACGTGTCCAGCATTTGTATGTGTATATAGACACAATAGTAGTCTGGTGTGGCTCTCAAGGGAATAGATTTGGCAAACTCTAGATCCACAGTATGGTGCGAAGGACCACAGTCTTCAAATTGACAATTAAAAGTAGAAAATCCACAGGTTTAACTGGATGGAAACTTCAAACTAGATTTATTAGAAACCGGAACACAGCAGATTATACAACGTTTTGGCGTCAAGCATCAATTGTTCTCTCTACCACGAGTAGCCATCCTTGGAGACTTAACCAGTCTCTCCCCGTCTCTCAATTTCTGCGAGTGTGGAACAATTTCGACACTGGGTATGCGAACATCAGATATTAAAACATTTTATAGAGCGAAAGGGTGATATTCTGGAATGGGCATTATGCAGAGCTAGAGAACATAAGGCGCAACAACCTGTGGCCGCTACTAAACAAATGGACTGAATTGTATTTCCCCAAGTTTTCAACTCTAAATCCCACCTCATAGCCAGGGCAGTCAAAATAAATTGGCAGATTTTAGAAGCTGATGATCAGTTGCCTTAAATCCTCTCCAGTCCCCCAGTGGTCAGTTATAAGAGGGGTACTCACCTCACGGACATAGTACACACTCACTAGTTCTACCAATGCCTGAAAATAAAGATTTATAATAATTTGGGCTACACTACATACAGCCATGTGATTCCAGGTAGGTCATTTCTTTGCCCCATTTCGGGCTAAGGTTACAAAATTAACCATCGGATTAAATGCGTGACTGAGTTTGTCACCTACAGCATTTTATGCTCTTGTGGATTGGCATAAGTGGGAAAAACTAAAGATAGTCTTGGGGAACGTTTTGCGAACCACAAGTCATCCATTCGGAATGGATATAAAGATATTAAGGATACCTTTCGTAGAGCCATGGGCCATCAGTTGGCCACTTTGAAATGTACAGGGATTGACCATGTCCAGATTCCACGTAGGGTGGAGACAGGGACATCAAATTGCTTAAGAAGGAAGCATACTGGTTAGATCTTTACGTTGGACACTGTGTTTCGGGAAGGCCTTAAAATTCCCCCCCATTGTTTCTTACCCAAAAGATGAATTACCGGTATTTATTGCGTTGTTCATATCTTTGTTTTGTTTGATTATGGATGCAATAAGCCCACTCTGGTAAAGTATTGTTTAGGTGGCTTACCCCTATATGAGATGTGTTCCCTCTGTTGGGTAATTTGCTTTTCTGATGGTATTTAATTAAGTGAACATATATAGATTTTCAAACTCTTTATCATCTGTGGTAGTAACCAGCCTTTGTAACACTTTGTTATGTTTACAATGTATCATTGGCACTTTTTCTATATGTTTTTAGAACTCACCTGTATGTTTCATTGTTCACAGCTTAGTATGGGTGGCTGCTATATGAATCTGTACTTTGCACACCTGTTTATTACTCTATACATTACCTGAATGTGTTCCACCTGCGCCTCATTGTACACAGTGGGGGTTTTAGTACCAGTTTCATACCATATGAAGAACTAATGTTTCACCTTGTTTTTGTTTGCTGGGAATATTTAAATTAAATGGTTTTTATCCTCACGAAAGTCCAGTTTGTGGGACTGAAATAATATAAAAATGCTTGGGCATATCTGAGCAAGACCAGTGAGTGTACTCTCTCATTATTTATATATTTGATTATTTATATCTGTGTATATATAACATTTTGTTAAAAATATGGAAGATGTGGCAAAATACTTCCTAGAAACATAATAAAAATAATAAAAAAACATATTTTTTTTTTTTTTTTTTTAAGCAGCAGATTCTTTTTATTTGTTTGTTTTTACTTATGGGTTTTCTTTTTCAGCTGTCTCTTATCTGAATTTTAGATCCTGTAGATTGCAATTAAGTTCATTTGACATCAGCAACGATTCTGTTTGAAATGTTTCCAGTTACACAGATTATTGGCAGCAACAGACAGTTGCACGCCAGAAAAAGCAGTTCCAAGTGTTCGCAGTCAGTCAGATTGTAATTTTATTTTTAATAAAGTCTGTATAACTCATCTGATGTCGTCTTTGTTTCATATTCAATCTTTTCTTTTTGTAGTGCTTGTCTGTCCTGTCAAAATCCCAATTTTGAAATCATTTTAGGTAGAGCATACATATCTGCTTTAATTCTTAGAAAGATAACCAGCAAGGTCAGATGTTTAAAGGGAAACAAAGTTGTTTTCCTGGAACTATAGCTCCCTATAGTGCCCCTCTCTACCCGTGGTGCAGAAAGGGTTTTTAAAAAGTCACCTGATTCCAGCGCTGGTTCAGACTCCTCCCCCACCGTCATCTGGTAGGGGAGACTTAATGTGCATGCACGGCAATGGGCGCACTCACATAGTATAAGGCATTTCTACGGGGTTTTGGGTGACGCTGGATGGCCTCATGCATAGCGTGAGGACATCCAGCATCAGGTGACCACAAAGTCGCCGTATGACCCAAAAGTCCCTCTAGTGGTTGTCTGGGAGACAGCCACTAGAGATGGAGTAACCCTCAAAGGTAATTGTTGCAATTTATTAAAAACTGCTATAACTAGATTAAGTGACTGGGGTCTATGCACCCAGACCATTTCAATGAGCTAAAGTGGTCTGGGTGCCTATAATGTCCCTTTAGCAGTTTTACTGTTCTGTTATGTGTTATTTTGTCTTAATTGGTCATAGTAGGACATAGAAACATAGAATGTGACGGCAGATAAGAACCATTCGGCCCATCTAGTCTGCCCAATTTTCTAAAAACTTTCATTAGTCCCTAGCCTTATCTTATAGTTAGGATAGCCTTATGCCTATCCCATGCATGCTTAAACTCCTTTACTGTGTTAACCTCTACAAATGGTCTGTGACCAGGTTAACCAAGATGGCAGGATCAATGATATAATTAATGGAAAAATAGATATGTTTTATACTGTTAAGGGATTCCCAGGTGGTATTACTGTGTATTCTAGAAATGCGTGTGTTCTTGATCTACTTAAAGGCATTTATTCTGTCATGCCTGTAGCAGGGTCAATAGTGTTTAGACGTCACGGAGGGGGCATACAGCAAAACTACCACTCCAGAACACAAAATGCAAACAAATTAAATAGTTCTCTTGTTCTTAAGAAATTTTGGTAATTTTTATCAAGTTTTGGACTCTCTTAAGATTCAACCACCTCAAGTCATTGTTGATCACATGACACATTTTTTGTTGTCACAAATTGGTTAGAATGACTGTTTATTAGGTTACATAATGAATGCAGTATGTATATACTTTTTTTTTTTTTGTGTGTGTGTGTAACATTTTTATAAACCTTCTTAAAATACAAATTTTTGTGTATTTCGCACATTGTCTGATCCAAATCCTCTCTCAATAAATCCTTTTTTTAAATAATCTGTCACTACAGTGTACCTTATCATATGTTGAAATCTTGACCTAAAGAGTGAGGTTAAAGTATTAGTCTAGACTCTATCCAATGCAAGGATTTTATGTAACTTGAGGCTAATGGCAGTTATGTTCTTAGGGAAACAGAAAGGATAACACTCCTTCCAGTTCAAATACTAGCAAATGGTGTGAGGAATGGCTAAATATACTATTACCTCCCCTCCCAAAGGGGAGAGCAAATGGCCAGCCACTACTTTTATTTACTTGAAGTGTTCGTAAAGGATTATCATGCTCGTCAGAAATAGTGTCCCTGTGTCTGTCTTTCACAATATTTTCATTTGTAGAAAGTTATTTACTGAAATCCGATTCTCTGCTTTGTTTCTTGCTGAAGTTAAACCATTTCCTGCTTTATAGTCTATTAATTCTGACTTAATTAGTAGATTCCAGAATCATTTGTTGTAGTTTGTTTTTATACTCGTGTTAGCTGTTTTGTATTGTTTTTGTGTGGTGTGTGTGTGTGTGTGTGTGTTTAATTTTTTTTATGCCTTTCTTTGTCCATAGTTTACTTTTTAGAACAGTTTAGAGTGTGCCATTGTTAAATATGCTGTAAAGTTTGATTTGAGTAGTTAAACATTTATCACTATTGCCAACATTTCCTAAACTAGATTAATCTATGTCTGAAGTATAGGATGGATGTTAAACTCCCAATGTGGCCCCAGGGGTCTTTTTTGTTAGTCCATAACCTGTTTGACCCATCCATAGCCTACACATCATTTATAAAATCCCACCATATTCCAAAGAATAGTTTGGCCATCCTACTTGTGATTTAGTTCATTTTTTCCCTTTACCCCCATTTTCTTTTCTTTTTTTCCCTTTGTATAAAATTCACAGATCTCTCAAAACTGCCTCAGAAAAAAAATAAATAAAAGGCTCTCATTAAGCCGGGATATTATTTTTCAGTTCGATATTGAATGTGGTACTTTCTTCACCATAGCGAACAAAAGTCATACAGAACAAAATATTCTCAGTTTTTCTGCTTCCTCGAATCATCAAGAGTAATGGATATTTTTTTTTAATGCTTAAATCTTGTTGGGAAACTCAAGATTAGTTTTTTTTTTTTTTCTTTGAGAGTCCAGTGTGCAGTGGCTCTACTGTAAAGAAGCAATTTGTCTTGAAATGCAATTGACAGGAGGGTGCATTTTTATTTTTTTTTGGTGAGCAAAACTAGTTAACTACAGGGTTGCCAAACCGAGTTGACCCTTGACCTTCTTGAGATACACTGTGTCTGTTTAAAACATTCTACAAGGGTATATTTCAAGGGCCACGGCTTACTACGTTGTTTGAATGTGGTTTCGTCATTAGATAGCCAGACATATTTTGATTACACGGATTGTGTGATTCACTGTAACAGCTGCACAGCCTTTAGTCATTCTATAATGGCCTAAAATTACCGTCCCTGAAGGAATGCAGGCCTCATAGCTCCAAGAACATAAAACAGTCAAAAATGAGACTTTGTTTTCCTTAACACAATACAACTGTTTGCGTGTTCTTGTTTTCTGTGCCGTTTCAGAAAGCATTATTTCACGGATAGAGTATAAACAGTAACTATGTTAAGTTTGAACAAGCACATTAACTTAGCTTATTGGCTTTTTTTGCTTTTTTTAACCTCCTTGACCGTTCCTAGTTTCTCTTGCAGCTCAAAGCTTTTCAATTAATAATCTAAATAACATATAAATAGCAGTGGCATTAATGTAATTGAAAATGAATTAACTCCAGGCTGTACATGTTTATCGCATTTCAAAGATTGTATTACTATGAATGGCAGCCTTGTTAGGTCATATAAGCCTAAAAAAGTAGCTGATTATATTTGATGTCAATGTGTGTGCTGAGAAGTCATATATTTCTTCATAGCGTAGCTTTCTATACCGCTTATCAATAATTATTTTTCATGCATAATAATAGAATTGCATGATTTGACACAGTGAAAGCTACATGAGGCTAGGACATAAAGCATACACAGATTAAATGTTTGATTCCTGATGGTGCTCGTCTTCCCGCTTTGCTGAATAAAAGTCTGATTTAATTATAACGTTTGGGGGGGGGGGGTTGTTCCTACTTTGAGATTGCCAAATCTTGCTTGAGAATGACTCTTCAATTTTGTCAGATTTTGTTCTATTGATACATTTTCTGGATCTAATGAATTCTGGGTTGTAGTCATGTAACCCGTGACACAAGAAAGAGGGAATTGAGAAGTTAAAAGGCTTTGTTGCTGTAGCAGACAAAAAACCACAGTGGAAGTGTTTGTGTTTTAATAGGTATTAAATTCATTGATAAAAATATAAAATGACCTCTGTTGCATAGGTTTAATTTCTTAACAAGGCAGACCACTTTGGTTTTCACGTTTTTGTTTCAGTAGAATGGCACCCTTTCTAAATCTATGCTTATTTAAAAGTATTTTGTGCAGAAGGTTTCTCAATATTTCTAAAAGTCCAATACCGTCTTTCGCTTGCAGTATGCAATACCATCTTTGTTATGTTGAGCCTGTAGTTCATACGTTAAAAAAACACTTTAAACACCATAACCACTACAGTCGGCTGCAGTAAATATGATGAGTTTGCCCCTGGCATTGCCCCCTGGTTTTGTGTCAATCCAGTTTTGATCAGCCTACCCTCACTTGGCGACGTGGGGCAGGGAGGCAATTGCTCCCCAGGCCGCCCTAAATCCAGGGACGCCCGCATTCAGCCCTAAATCCATGGGCCCGCCTTACGTCGCCAGAGGAGGGGGACACAGTAATCCGAAACTCCTACCTCTGGTTGGGCACTCGGATTTTTAAACTTATCCCTCTCCCTGCAGTCAGTGGAGTCGGCCGGCCTCTAATGATGACATCAGGAGAGGCCGGCCGACTCCACTGACTGCTGCCTCCTTGCTACTCCTCCCTGGCCTATGGTAAGACTCTGGGAGTGGGGGAATACACTTTTTTATTTATTTTTAATATCCTCCCCTTTCCTTGGCCCCTGTCCCCTCCCCCCCTGTCCCCTCCCCTTTCCTTGGCCCCTGTCCCTCCCCTTTCCCTGGCCCCTGTCCCTCCCCTTTCCTGGCCCCTGTCCCCTCCCCTTTCCCTCGGCCCCTGTCCCCCCTTTCCCTCGGCCCCTGTCCCCCCCTTTCCCTGGGCCCCTGTCTCCCCCCTTTTCCTCGGCCCCCCTTTTCTCGGCCCTGTCTCCCCCTTTCCTCGGCCCCTTTTCTCGGCCTGTCCCCTTTTCCTCGGCCCCCCCCCCCATTGCCTTCCTCGGCCCCTGTCTCCCCCCTCGCCCCCCTTTTCCTCGCCCCCTTTCCTCGCCCCCCCTTTTCCTCGGCCCCTGTCCCCCCATTTCCTCGCCCTGTCCCCCCATTTCCTCTGTCCCCCATTTCTCTGTCTCCCCCATTTCTCGGCCCTGTCTCCCATTTCCTCGGCCCCTGTCCTCCCCCATTTCCTCGGCCCCTGTCTCCCCATTTCCTCGGCCCCTGTCTCCCCTCTCCCCCCATTTCCTCGGCCCTGTCTCCCATTTCCTCGGCCCTGTCTCCCCATTTCCTCTCGACCCCTTTCCCCCCCATTTCCTCGACCCCTTTCCGCCCCTGTCCCTGCTTGGCATATTGCAATTTCTGAAGTTAAACTTCTGTGTTAGCAATGTCCATGCTGCTCATACTTTGATGGCATTCATTCACAAAGAGCAGGGTTAGGCAACCTTCGGCACTCCATATGTTGTGGAGTACATCAGCCATAATGCAGGCAAATCCTTATGGGAGATGTATTACAAAACATCAAGAGTGCCAAAGGTTGCCTACCTGTGACCTAGAACATCAGCTAACACTCTCAGGCAATGAATGCCATCCAAAAAGTCCACATTAGCAATATCTTCTGCCAGGCCATAGGTTCCTGGTGGTCCCTTCACTGCAAAAGACTGCAGTGGTTAAGATGTTTTAGTGTCTATTAAAGATGTTTAAGATATATATTCTATATTTTTCATATATATATATATATATATATATATATATATAATCGTGTTAACTTCTCTCTAATTTTGAAAGAAAATGTACACAGCTGTTCTTGTAAACCTAAAAATGATGCTTTAATTAAGAGTATGATGTTGATAGCAACGACCATTTGGTCTACTGTACAGTAAGATTTCAGTGTAATATTTTGCAATTGTTAAATAGTATCGGTATCCAGGAAACGTCTCCATGAGATCAAGTTGACAATGAGGTTGAATGTAATAGTGGGGGACGGACCAGGAGTGGGTTCTTTGGAGAATAAGAGGAAGTAGTGAAGTTCGGATGAAGCATCAGACACCAATGGCAGAAAATGAAGGTATTCAGCAATCATTATTTTTTATTTTATTTTTTTCAGGACAGGCTTCCCCAAACTCCGGCCCTCCTGATGTTGCTGAACTACGACTCCCATGATTCTCAACCTATCTATTTCATTCATAGAATCATGGGAGTTGTAGTTCAGCAACATCTGGAGGGCCGGAGTTTGGGGAAGCCTGCCCCAAGACTACAAGTCACAGACCATGATCCCTTGTTTTGAGAAGGTTGGCCATCAAACCTTTCAAGAACAGTTCACATAGTACATTAACTAATATGTTCTATGACTGCCCAAAAACAAAGTGGTTTGCATGAATGTCCAAAGTACTTACAGCATATACATTTTATTAATCTTCTTATATTTTATAAAGCGCGGTCACTTTCCACAGCGCCATCTATGGGTACAATGGTACAAGTGAAAATACACCGTACAGTATAACTAAGACACAATACACAATTTGACAAACTAATACGGGTGGAACATAGAGCCCTATTCCCATGGGGAATAACATATTTTTAAAATTTATTTCTTTTACATTAGCATTTTTAGATAACACAACATGTAGACAGACATGTTTTATAAATCTATTTTTGTTGCTGTTTTCTTCTGGCGGTAGCTAAAAATAAGGTTGACAAAAATGAACAGTAATGGTGTAATGTATAAATCTATTTATTTTAATGTCACAGAGACTTGTAGTTGCATAGAGTACCATTCCAACGTAGGTGGTAGAGACTAATACAATAGACGAGTTGTATTGTCCTGAGCACACAACAAAGTACAGCCTGTTCTTTTAAGGACAAAATTTTTTAACCAGATGGCATGAATGGGATTTTATCTGCTCGGAAACTCTGTTTCTTCGTTTTGAGCCATGTGAAAGCGTTCTAAACATTCTACCTTACCTTTACACAACCCCACACTCTCCCTCACACCCAACCCATTATAATTATCTTAATTAAAAACTTAAAATGATCATATTCTTTAGAGCCTTTTGTGTTAAATTGCTTAGGCATGATCGTTTTATCAATACTTTTATACTTAACATTCCAGGGCTATTGATTTCCAGTGAAAAGTAATTAATCTTGAGCTTGAACATTAAGAGGAATATCCAGCAAGCTAGTGTGCCTTTTCTTACTCTGTTTATCTATCCATCTAAGATTAGGGTGAGGTCAGTCTGTAAAGTAGTCCGCATGAGGTAGGCTTTGGGGGGCACATTTTAATTACATAGTTCAACGGAGGATAATAAATTACAGCTTTCTTCATTTAATGCCCTTAAACATGTTGTTAACTCTTTTTCTATGTGTGACTTCTCCGAACTAAAAGCCATTTCCCTAACCGTCACGGATGATGAAACTATAATGATGTATGCTCAGAATGGGGCCTCTATGGATTTTAGTTTGCGTTTTTTGTTTTTTTTTACTTAGGCAGTAAATAGGGGGTGGGATTGCAGTGCCTCATTAAAAGTATCAAGCGGAGCAACGGTTTAAGCTCCAACATAAAATGCATATCCTACACACACAAACATGAAAGAGAGAGAAGTTTTGTTGGTGCGTCTTTAAAAAAACAAAAAAAAAACAAACCCAAAATATATATATATAGTTTTTGTTTTGCTGACTTACTGGCAACTATGTTGCAAGATATTTTTTAATTTTTTTATCACAAATAATTGCCCCACTGGGTATTCCAATTGAATGCCACTTGGCTACTATTCAGTGCTTTGATTGGGACTGAATCTGTGAAACAAACATACTACTTCCTCCCACCTCCGCATTTGTCTTTTTTTTTTTTTTGCTTTTTTTTTTTACAATTCAAAGTAAAAAGCCGTAATCTAGAGCAATAATCCAATGCCGTGTTTCATGTTAAACGTGCTTAATCTTTATTTTTATTAAGTTAAAACCATATCTCAAACATACGGAGCTATGGGCTCAAAGCGTCTCCTACCACCAGCGATCACAATCTAGGCATTCTCTAAATACTTGCATTTTATCCAGACTGAACTAAAATTGTAACCCTGTTTGGTTATATAGGGGAGTATCCATTAATTGACTAAAGAACACTAGAGTGTTCGCAATACAATCCTGTTCTCTAGAGAAGAAACACCCACTCGTGTGCAAACAAAAAATGATAAAATAAAGATTTTAACGGAGGCTCCATCTCCGCCTCCTGCAACGTCATAGAGAAGGCATAGCATGACCTCCTCCATGATGGCTCAGTCCAATGCTTCTCATAGAAGAGCATTGGGCACCTAATGAGTAGAGATGTCCCGAACTGTCCGCCGGCGAACAATAGCGTGTTCGCGTTGGGCGAACATATCCGATTTCCGGTCCGCCCCCTATACGTCATCATTGAGTAAACTTTGACCCGGAACCTTACAGTCAGCAGACACTTCCTGGGAGGGAGGGTCTGCTGCTGATTGGGTGGAATGTGTCTGCTGGCTGTGAGGTTCCGGGTCAAAGTTTACTCAATGATGACGTATAGGGGGCGGACCGGAAATCGGATATGTTCGCCCAACGCGAACACGCTATTGTTCGCCGGCGGACAGTTCGCGACATCTCTACTAATGAGCATGCACTGCTAGTACTGTCCATCAAATCAATGCTTTCCTATGGGCACTTCCAGACCACGTGACCCAGTTTTACTGCAGAAGAGCCTCTAGTGGTTGTCCGTATGAGAAATACGTCCCAATTTTGAAAAAAAATATTTTTATAGCCGAGACACAAATAAAAAGCCCAAACCCCGTACTGTATTTCAATATTCTTCTATCTGGTTATGGAGTGGAAAACTGTCTCTTGTCGGAAGCCAGCGGTTTTTAAATGTCTGTATGAATTATATTCCTTCCATACCGAGCAGTCATCCAAAACTAGACACAGCAGTTCCCGTTAATTGGATTACCTTTAAAAAAAATAATAATTTTAAACGAAAGAAGATAAAATGCAGGAGATAATATGGAAAGTTAGCTATTTGGATGAATTAAACAGAATTCGTTGCCAAGATAATCTGCCACTTTTTTTTTTTTTATCTGTCTTTTCTTTTTAACGCTTAGCCTTTAATTGTCAAATAATGCATGTTTGCAATGCCAAAAAGCTATTTGCAGACCAGCTGAAAACTATTGTTTGCATGTAATAGTAAGATTATGGTTGTGTGTTTTACAACATAGCATTTGCCAGATAGACAATAGTAATCTAGTTATTCTTGAAATGTAATTTTTTTTTTAAATGCGTCCCAGCACTGCAGAAACCAATCTATAATTATTATTTTTTTTTAATTTCTTTATTTATGTATTTATTGGGGTTTGTGATAAACCACTGCATGGAAAGATCAAAATCTTCTCTCCCCGCTACCCCCTCACTCCCCTGAGTGAGCAGAAGTCTTATTTCTATAAGATTGTGTCTAGGCCTCCAACTTCACAGTTCGGCAAACTAGTCTGTCTCCTTAACAGAGCAGTCTCCTGTTACTGATAGGCATTCAAAGCATGTTGTTTTGATAAAGAATAACTCTGAACTCACTTCCCTTACATAATCTGGTCTGCTTATCACATTGTTATCTGTCTGGGGGTATTACTGCATTAAGCACTTCCATTAGTATTTCCAATATTACAAACCGCATGGAAGGCAGACAAGCTGACATATTTATGTGGGTTTTTTTTATAGTTGCTTATTTGCAATTTTGGTTCTCAATCAACCCTCAAAATAAGTAACATAAGTAACATGCATGCATCTGCATCCAATTTGGTGACCTACTGAAGATAATCATTCTAAATGGATTGCATCATGTGTATACCTTCCACCAGTCCTAGTTCAGATGGGATAGTCCTGATTTTTGGAATCCTGTGCCTGTCCCCCTCTAAATACAACTGTTTAATGTGCAGAGCATTACTGCCCATGAGAGCGCGATTGTACAGTGCTCTGTACATGAGCAGCACTGGTGGCTGGGTGGTGGCACTGCTCATTATTCTTGAGATAATGTTTTCTTGGGGCTGACGTGCCCAGTTTTTGGGTGTTATGCCCTCACTTTGGCCACTTCTCTCCTTATCTCCCATTAAACGCTTTCTATAGTTTGCCATTTCACTTCCCTCTTTGCTGTTCTCGCAGTTAACTTGAGGCATGGAAATACTGGTTACCAAAACTTGCGTAATAAATCCTTAAAACTACTGATTAAATAGTGAAAGCACGGTCTAGTAATGGTCTATGTTCCATCTACGTACTGAGACACTTTGAGGCGAGCCTAGACTCAACTGACGTAATGTGTCATGTTGTCACTTTAACAAATCCATCAAATATTGGATGTTTGATTGTGCATTGCCCTTAACGAACGCCATCGTAGCTTAAATCTGCCATTTCCCCCCCTTCCTTTGTTAAAAAAACAGATGCCGACCTAAGGAATTTGATTGGTTGCTGAAAGCTATACTACCCAACAATAGTTTGTTAAATCAACTCAGTAAGACAAAGTAGAGCAGGGCTCTGAGCTCTTTGAAATGATTGAGCAGTGAAACAAAATAATGGACTTCACATTCTCTATACACATAACCGTGCGGTTTGCCCCATTTTAAGGGGAAGCGGGCAACAAGTAGACTTTTTCTCTATTTGAACAAGTATAAAACAAATTTGAGGCAGTATTTAATGACCGTTTGTTTAAACCCCTACAAGATAATAATTTTAAATTACAGGAGACAATGAGAATTATTTCTGAAGAACAATTTATGGGGCAATGACCATCGAGATATATTTTGCCTGCCAGCTGTCCTTTGTACATGCCCACACTGTGTATGTTTTGGTAATCGAAAGCCAGAGTGCCGATATTGGCTTAGCAGTGCTAAAGACGTCTGGGTCTTTCCTCCAAAAATTGCATCATTGTCCTGCAAGCCTGTTCTTGGCATAGGGTCGATGTTGCACAAGGAACAAAGTATGCTAACAATTAAATTGCAACTTTGGCATCAAACATACAAGCCAGGGCAAATGCTACTGACACGGTGCATCATCTGATCCGGTGAGCAACATACTACTCATGATTCCGGTGTCTCATGCCTCACTGCCATTTAAAGGGTTATCTCGGAGCTGAGATCAGAAGTGGGAGTCACTTTTATACTATGAAAGCAGAGCATCTGTCTCTGGCTTTTCCCCTTTCCTTTCCCCCTGGAGCTGTAGCAGATCTGTGTCTGGGCACCATTTTGCTGTTAAATTCTCTGATACCATTATCCTTTTAATCTACCTCCACATGAGATGATCCAGACCCCAAGGGAAGATGGAAACAGGCAGGATTCCAGGAGGAAGACTTGGCGAGCTTTGTATACTCTTGTTTGACAAGGGACTTCATTGCCAAAACACGATTAAAACAAATTTTACAATGCCATGCTGCACTGGTATATACTTCACCTCTTGCCGATTTAACAAAAAACATTTCCATTTTAGTGAGATATATAATATATACACACACACACACACACATTTTTGTTTCCAGGATCTATGCGCGGTGCAATAATTTAAGCTGTGCACGTAGAGAGAATTATTTTCTAAAGTTCCCTTAAAGGAACATGGATTCCTAATGGTATAGTGTTCTCCAACCGAGGTATTACCACTTCCCCCACCCGCAAGGGTTTAAAAGCTGAAAATTACTTGCCTTTCTTCCCTTACTATGCTGGTCTCGCCGTTGCTTCCCCACCTATCATTGAGATGAAGTGGTCTGGGGGCATTAAAAGTAGTACCATAATCACTAAAGTGTCCATATTGTCCCGTTAATGTTTTGTGTGTGCACTTTGCACATGTTCATTTTAAGTATGTTTTGTTCATTATTAAGACCGTTCTTGTTTGTTGGAAGTTTTTTTTTTTTTGTTTGTTTAGTTTTTTTCCTGACTGGCATAATACTTGTTTTTCTTTCTCATTTCAAATTCCATTGATTTCCCACCACTACACATCTCCTTCACTGTTGGCTGAAATGCAGCGCATGTCAAGAGAACGGTGTCTGTTTTAGTTAAAATAGTTTAGGTGACGAAGTGCATTTTCTTGCTTCTCCACACGTTATCAGACAATTTGGACTCATTCCCTTATAGGATTGCGCGTCCCCCCATGCTGGGGCACTGCTATCTTGTTGTTGCCGCAGTAGTTTCATAGCTCCACAATGTCATATGAGATAATTTTGTTACGGATGAGTCAAGACAGCCAAGCGGTGCACGTTGGGCCGTATGATGCTGCCAGATTCTGGACAAGTATGTCACTAGATTCTGATCTTTATGTGAATATAGTGAATGTTTATTGGAATCAGGCAGCTTCCACTGCAAGTTCAGCCTTTAAATTGCTCAGTATCTGACTGATCACAAAATTTTAAAGAGACACCCAAACTCCAGAACCATTACAGCTTCTTGTGCTGTCATCCAAGGATATGTGTGCATACAATACCAACTATGGGAGGAATGGATCCAGGAAATTGGGGGTGGAGGCATGACAATAGGGGGCATGTTAATTACTTGGCTGATGCCCAAAGGAGCATGTCAACCTGTCGTGGGTGTGTGCCCCTGAGTACAGTACATGTGGAGAGTGCTGTTAAAGTGTTCTGCCCATAAGCTTTATGGGGTCTTGCTCTCTGGTCTCCCCAACTTCAGGGACAGGACCCTTAATTTTGGACTGTTGAAAGGTATGTTTTTGGAAACTCATCACAGGTCCTGCAAATTGAAGCAACTGAGCACAGTGTGAGCAGGTGATTTAAATACATGAGAAGAAGTGAAGGACTTTGGTGCCAGAGATCTAACAAAAAAAAACCCAACCTATTGATTTAAAAAGGTACGTTTTCAGGGCCAGCTTCCCAGCACCACAACCACTACAAATGCTGCTCTAATTAAGGTGTGTAGATTTTTCATTTAAAAAGAGGGGTGGGGGGGGGAGGGAAAGAGTGCATGACTTTGTTCAACCTTATTACTTATCAAAAATTATTTCTGCGCAGATCTTCATCATACTTCATGATACAATTGCACAAATTAATTGTATCTTATTTCACAAAAAAAAAATGACGAATTAACAAATGACTAAGGTTATGAGTCTTTAAGGAGATTTTTTGGAAAACCGCACCATGTTCAAACATGCCATAATATAATATCTGCTTCTTGGAAGAAACAGGACATTCTTATTACTTTTAAATGCATTAATATTTATATTCTAATTTTTATATAGATTTTCCGCTCAAATGTTTAATTCTAAATTAAACATTTTATGTATAATTATCACGGGTGGTCTAATACAGTCCTGTATATTAAATGATTTTTGCAAGGTTATAGATTACATACAAAACTGTCTTTTTAAAACAAAGGAGATAAAGTCATTTGTGTGGTTTTATAAACGATTTGCCAGTATAGTGCTTTGTGAAAGGAATCATCTGGGAATGTGTTGATTTCCTGATAAGTTAAAGGGAAAAGCTGGAAGTTCAATTGGACAAAATGTTTCAGCGAGACAAGATTCCCTTTGATCTTAAAGTAGATTTTGTGTGTTTGAGAGGGTCCTGGTTTTTCACCCCCACCCACGCACACACATAAAACAATTTCATGATATGTAAAAATGTGAAGTAATACTTGCCAAAACAGCTGCTACTTTGAACGACGCAAAAATCTGTAAAAAAATAAAATTAAAATTAAAAATGATGTTCGTCTTGACCATGTTATTACAGTGGCTTGGCTCATAAATAAAAACCATGAAATATTAACCAGTAGAATAAGAACAGGAAATGTACATGCAGCAATATTAAAATGTTAATCCAAACACCATGACCACTTCAGTGATTTGAAGTAGTTATGGTGCCTGGTGTCTGTATCCATTGCTCTGAAGCGATGCACAGAGTTTAACCTCTTTGCTGTCGGAAGTGTAACTCCACCTCTGGCAGAGTCAATGGTGCATCATTAGCCAGCCTGGAACAAGATTTCCTGGCTGGCTGATGTCAATTCTGTGCAAATTTCCATGATCGTAAATCATTTGTTGCTGGAGAGCGGCCAACTGATGCACTCATCCAGGCTTATGTAGCTCTGACCAGACATGCAAGGAGACCAATATTCCCCATAACCAGACAACAACGCCAGCATACTTGTGGTTATGGTGCTTGGTGTAACCTCTAACCTTTTAGACACCCTAAAATGGCTTTTTATTTGTTCTGTGCATTGTTTATAAAGTCCAGGTGGGGAAATTGTCAAAATAAACTAGAAACTTTAAAAAAAAAATGAAAAAAAAATTTCAAGCACAGTGTATGTCTAATGTATCTGGGGTTTGCGAGTGGGGGAGGGGAATTAATGTCCATGGTTTACATTCTGGCCGTTTCGATCCCAATTGGTGGTGCCTCCACAATTTTTTTTTTTATTTTTTTTTAACTGAATAAACCATGCCAGTATTGCTGTACAGTTTACTTCCCAAACCGGGGATCCAGAGAAAGCATTCTCAGCCAATTGGAATCCAGTATTTAACAATGGATATTGAATCTAGATACTTCTTTGTGTAACTGATTTTTAATATTCTATTTTATGTCCAATAATTTCAGTTTCACGTTTATGGATTTCCTCTGTTTGTTCACGTTTTTTTTGTTGTTGCAATTTTCTGTTCTTGGTAGTATCCATTTCTTTTTGTAATGTTTGAGGAATGGCTAGGTGGACCCTCTATGCATCTTGTGAGCAAAGCTACTGAAAGATCCTGATGTCTGTTCTTTATTGGCACCGCTGGGATTACAGACTAGGAAACGTACAGAACGGCAGAAATGACTTCTTTTGTGCAAAACAAATAAATGCCTGCCGCCCTTTTTATAATTTGAGTGGAACTGTCACGTGTAGTATTTGTAAAGGGTTTAGTTAAATTTCACTGTCAACCCTGCCTTTTGACAAGTCACAGCCAGAGCCCTTCATGGAGATCAGCTGGCATTAACTGGATTCCTATCTCTGCTCAGACAAACTTCCACAAAGGAGTGCCCTTTGAAGTCATTTTAAAGTCAACAAGGACAGCTTAAACCCCACCCCTCCAAAAAAGCTAATTACTCTTATGTACACTTAAAGAACTTATTTTGATACTGTGTATCAAAAATATACAGCCCTATGTTCCATTATGCGGACTGAAAGGAACGTTTCATACAAGGTTTCACTTGAATTCACCTACAGTCTATTAACGTTTTGTTATGACCCAATTTAAAAAATCAAAAAAAATCAAATAGCCAGTACAGAGTATGCAATCTGTACGTACATAGCTGAAAGTTATGAGCTTCTATCAGTTCTGAACAAGTCAATGTTTACAGTGCCAGACAGAGGAGATATGCTCATATACACTTCCTCACCAACCGCCAACAACAGTCCTGGAGTTAAACAAAAGTTGTCTATTTATCCGTGACCTCTGACATTTGCTAACAGCCTTGATTATTGCTATCACTGAAAGCATGCTGATATGGCCAGTTCAAAGAAGAAGCTTGTTCCCAATACTTTTTTCTCAAAAGGCAAAAATTTCTTGACAAGTATTGTTGAATGAAAACAAAGCACAGTGCTACCACCATCATTAAGTTTGGTGTTTAAAGGACCACTATAGGCACCCAGACCACTTCAGCTTTATGAAGTGGTCTGGGTGCCAGGTCCATCTAGGATTAACCCTTTCTGCTGTAAACATAGCAGCTATGTTTACCTATGTGTTAATCCAGCCTCTAGTGGCTGTCTCATTGACTGCCGCTAGAGGCGCTTCTCATTGAGAATGCTTTCCTATGGACTGCTTGAATGCGTGCGCGGCTCTTGCCGTGCATGTGCATTCAACCAATGACTGGGAAAGGAGGCGGAGAGTCCCCACCGCCGAGGAAGCCCGGCGGTGGAGAAAAGGTATGTGTTTAGCCCCTTCCTCACCCTAGAGCCCCGTGGGAGTATGTTTTCCTGGCACTATAGTGGTCCTTTAATTGTTGGTGATCAAGCTTATCCCCCTTAAGAAAACTGCTTCTGAAGTAAAATGGAATCATGACAGAATATTTCAGTTGTGTCCTTAAGCAGTTAAATTAAGATATTGATTTTCCTTTAGAGCTTCACTAGGCCTCTGTAACAATTGCTAACTGTGTATTTATTAAAGCGTATATTTGTGTGTATGTATATGTGTGTGTGTATATATGTATATATATATATATATATATATATATATATATATATATATATATATATATATATATATATATATATATATATATATATATATATATATATAGTTTTAGTTTTATCTGACTTCCTCCCCCCAAGTTCTTTATGGTTACTGTGTTGCATTCCCCCCCCCCAATTTATAATTATACTGAGGCTTTATCATTAAGCAGATGTTTTCTATTTTGAAAGAAAGTAAATGATTGCAATTAACCAGATGCTGAACTAAGGGCGCAGGGCCATTCATCCTTCTCTGTGCAAGAGCTGAGTGTACAATTCCTGAACATGTGTAAACATTCTAAGCATTTTTTTTTTGTTTCTTTTGGTTGAAGTGAGGCAGATTATAGAAATCTTGTCATTTACTAATTTTGTGTAATTTTTGTTTTAAAATATATTTAGTTTTACATTGTGATTTAACTTTAAAAAATTTTTAAAGCGACCTGTAACAAAATAAAGTTTGGGGTGGGGGTTATTTTGTTTTAGTCCATTTTTTATTTATTTATTTTTAAATTGCATGCATGTGTGCCACTGCCTATATATCTGAAAGTCTACGTGTTTTTGAGATCATGAAAACATTTTTATTGAAACATCTGTTTCCAATTATGTTTCATACGAACCATAATTTAAAATGTTCATTTTGGATGTAGTGTTTAAAACATTTTTATTTTTACGCATACTCCATGCTACTTTCAAATAGGTTTTTATAGACCAATCTTTTTGAGAGGATTCAGTGTTTGCATAAGTACTTATCATAGTTTTTGTGTTCTCCTGGTATAGATATTCTGATGTATCCCTATTTTCCATAGACATTTGGTTGAACTGGACACATCTAAGATGGAAGGTACAAATCTTCCCCAGATGGTGTTACCACTCCATTTCATAGATTTGACCTGGTTCTTGTAAGCGAAGCAACATAAAAATAGTCAAGTGGAACAGGAGTGGATTATTTTTTATTTATTTTTTCTGGAGAAGCTCTTGGCTATTTTGTTTCTTGAACCTGCCATCTTGCTATTAAACAAGTCTTAGGGCACGAATTACCAAGTGATCACGTGTGTCCGTCATGATAGACATTCACCACTGCGGGTTGAGTTTTCAGCAGAAGACCTTGCAGTTGAAGTAGGTAACGATGGGCCTGAATGCCACATTGCTGTATCCAGAACCAGGGAACTGATGGCCAGTCCAGACAAAAATGAGGTCAAGAAAGTGGCAGAACAAATCAAAGCCTGGGAAGGACATTCTAGAACACAGGCAGAAATGTGCTGGGTATAGGGTGCTACAAAACTGAACAAGAAAAGTGTTGGTTATATGGCAGTTGAGACATATTTAAAAAAGTTACTTTTAAGTTGGTTATTTTGGAAAAACCCATATGTTGCATTGGAATTAAAACCTTTGTCTTTATAAATTCCAAATTTCTGGTAAAAGATGGATAGATTTTTTTTATTTTTATTAGAGTTACACACATAGTAGACATCTGTGTCAATATATGTAATGAATAAACTATTGAGGAATACTTTAAGGCTAGACATGGTTCCACAAACAAAATCATAAAAAAGGAGTGTGAAAATAAAATATTATTGATAGAGGCACTATAGGTTTAAGGTCACTAGTCAGTTTATGACTTGTCCTACGCTGCAGGCGGTCAGCTGACTAGGCTGCTTATCTATGGGTTATATATGTTCGTAGGTCGCGTACCTCTAGGCATAAAACTAAACACTCATAGCCATGTTTCAGAAGGACGAACTGAAAAATTAAAGAAAAGTGAAATGAAGGTAAAGAAAAATTAACGAAGGCATCAAAAGCATTTTGGGACTGTTCAGGGTGCTTATATATGTGCAAGGCTTGGGAGAGTGTCACTGGACCAAATTATGTGGGACCACTCACTCTGGAGCCTTCTTCTTTTGTGGTATGTCCACTCGGTGTGTCTCCTCCAATGTGGTAGCGGCCAGTAGGCCAAAAGATTGGATCTATAATCTGCTTTCCGTTTTTAATTATTGCCATTATCCAAAAGCTCATCTTGTCTTACAATGTGCAACTGACGCTTGTAACATTGCATCAAACATGCGCAAGATCAAATGTGGTTCCTGTTTTCAAGTGGATTTCTCTGTAGGATCCTGTTTTGTGCGGATTTGCATGGGTATATGTACAAATCTGATTTTGCCCCAGTTTCAGAGATTTTTGAGGCCCACCTCTAAAACCACCAGCTCCCTCTAGAGGCTTATCGGCAAACTTCAAGATTAATGAACAAAATATAAACACCAGAGCATGAATAGAAGGGAAAACACCACAAAAACATTGTTTGCCAATATTTATTTATTTATTTATAAAATATTTTACCAGGATGGATACATTGAGATTTCTCTCGTTTTCAAGTATGTCCTAGGTCCACAACATTGCATTGTTACAATATTACAAAAATAATAGATATCAGGTAATAAATATATTCAACCATGACTGGTGCATTCTGTGCTCAGGTATATTGCCATAGATCTCTTAAAAGATTTTAGGTTGAATGAAGATTTGACTGTGTCCCTGAGGTTATTCCATAATTGCTGTGCTCTGTAGGAAAAGGAGGATCGAGCCACTTTATTTTTGTATTGCAGTATGCTAAATATCGTGCTAGTACTGGATCGGAGGTTATAGGAGGTGGGAACAATGGGGGAGAGCATTCTAATCCGGTAGGGTGGGAGCTTCCCAGAAATGCTCTTATGCACAAGGCTGGAAAGATGAAGAGTGTGTCAGGATTCCAGCAATAGCCAGTTTAGCTCTTTTAACATGTGACAGTGATAGGTAAACTAATTACATTCTAGTATAAAGCGGCAGAATGAATTATATAACATATTAAGTTTATTAAGGTGGGTTAGCTGTGCGGGTGCATACACTACATCCCCATAATCAATGACCGGCATTGGCATTTGTGGCATTATCTGTTTCCTTACTGTAGGGCTTAGGCAGGATTTGTTTCTGTACATGGCACCTAGTTTTGGGTAAAGTTTTGAAGAGATTCTTTCAATGTGAAGGCCAAAGGATAGATTGGGGTCTAGCAACATACCTAGCTATTTAAAAGAGCAGACTGCTGTCAGTGTGCTATTTGAATTTATTCTAAAACACAGTTGTTGATTTTGTAGTTTATGTAATTTAGGTACAGTTCCAAAGATTATTGTAACAGTTTTGTCAGTGTTTAGGAAGAGTTTGTTATCCGCTATCCACTTTTCTACCTCTGTAAATCGGTTTTGGGGCACAGCCTTAAGCTGCAGTAGCTCGGGTTTACTAGCGTAGATTACAGCGTTGTCTGCATACATGTGTACAGTTGAGGATTTGCAGACGTTGGACAGATCATTTATAAATAATGTGAATAGCAGGGGGCCGAGTATGGAGCCTTGGGGAACACCACGCGTGACTGGAAGACGGAGGGAGGCGCTATCAGAAATGGCCACCTATTGCAATCCGTCTGAAACCTACGATCGAAACCAGGTTAGCGGACGATCACCAATGCCTGAGTTTTTAAGTTTTTGCAAAAGAATGCCATGGTCTACTGTATCAAAGGCCTTGGCAAAATCAAGGAAAATAGCTCCAGTTAAGTCTCCTTGTTCCATGCCAGTTTGAATGTCATTGCAAACTTTTAAGAGACTTAAATGCAAAATTTGTCAACACATCAGAAAAAATAAAATATACCACAAAATTAAAATGCGGTGCAGAATGTGATAAGTTCAGCGGCCAGGTTTGCTGGCCTTCTTCTAAAAGTCGGTTCAATAAGTTTTTCAGGATCTCAAAATTAATCTGTTTACAGTAATATTTAATATGAGCCATAACTTTAAAATGTTAATTTCCATAGTTTTGGAAGTGGATTTATGAATCGGAAAGAATGCATGTGTCCATCTTAGCTGAAGTCAAAAGTGATCTGAATTCTGGATTTCTTAACATTCTAGGAGTTTTTGAATGTCTGAAAAGTGGTTGAAGGTAGGCTTGCTGCACGCACATTTGAAATGCCACGCTAGCAGATTTCACTGCCATGCTGAAGATAAAATGTGATGGCAAAGAAGATCAAATAATGTGTAGATCCAAGAATGTTTAAATCTCGGCATCTGATCGCAATTTGACTAACACATTATGATGAAATATTATTCTCTTTGAAGTTGGGCTCAGCCATCTTTTCCATAACTTGCCATTTTATATCCAATATCAGAATCTGTTAAATTAAAGCAACACTCCAGGATGGATACATAATATCGACGAGGCGGGAAAATAAATGCAAAAAGTATGGAAACTTTTTTTTTGTAAAAAAAAATAAAATAAAAAAATGCACATTTTGAAGTGCTTGCATATTGCCTAAAATGAAGAGGTTATTGTGATTTATTTTGCTTCTTCTTTCAAACGGTAATGTTTTAAAATTTAATATTTTTATTTATTCACTTTTAATCTTCTATAATTTAAAACTACATGGATATTTGTGAGTTTAAAATAAAAAATCTGTACTAACTGAATTTGGGGTGTTCCTACTCCTTAACATAGGGAGGCATGTTTGTAGACTTGGTCTGTAGAACATGCAAAAGAGCAGTAAATGCAAAACTGCAGCTTGCTTTGTTGCAAAATAATGAGGTTGGTTATGCTCAGGAGATTTAATTTTTATTTGTGGCTGCCGAGCAGGGAAAAAATCCTGACAACAAGCCTCTTATTGAATAGGTCATGACGATGTGTTGTTCAGTGAGTTACATTTTAGTGGTGACTGAAAACCAATGGCACCATAGACTCCAAGAGCTCCACAGCCAGTCTAAGTTAATAGAAAGATTAATGGGTCTATTATCAATTCTAGAAGACCTCCCTCCCCTTGGCCATGGCCATAATCTTAAAAACTTCTAGATGTATAGATACATCACTATTTGATTTATGGACTGTGTAGAGTCTGCATTTCATGGTTTTAAGATTTGTTTAATCAAGTAGAACATGGAATGTATTGAGTTCGCTGTATGTTCTATCCGTTTTACAGGAAGGTTTATGCCTTTTCACTAGATGATGTATGAATTTCAATTTGCAAAGCTATGTGTTCACAGCTTGGATGAATTAGGTTTGCCTGAGCAATTGCTGCATTATGTGAGCTAATCAGTAGAGGGCGCTGTGTCCTAAAACTAGGGGACTTTTTAAAGGTGCAATAAAAATAAATGTTATTGATGTAACAAAACCATGGTAAAATCAAATACTTTTTAATTTTATGGAAAATTGGGTTAAAATGATTGTATAATAGGTATTGTAAGCATGAGCTAAGAGAAACATTGCTTCTTTTAATATATATAATCTCATCTACATATTAGTGTTTTCATTTGCTAAGGATACTAGTATAAATCTGGATAAGGTAATTCATAATTAACCATAAAAGTATTTCTAAACAAAATATGTAACCACAACCCCTTAAAAAAATGTTTGGTTTTTAAAGGGACTGAATACCACCCATTTTTTTTATTTTATTCTATTTATTTTTTTAAATATAACTTTTTGCCCATTCTGTTAGTACAGAATGGGCTCTCCCCTGCCCATAAGCAGAAGGCGTGTAGCGTGTTGGGAAATGTAATAGCTGCTTTTTTTTATACTTTAGTCATATTATTTTTAAAAATTGTTTGGTTTGTTTTTGTTCCTAATAAACAAAATTTGTTAAATGCATATTTTGTGCATACTGTGAAAAGGATTAAAATCAGACATTGGATTTTATTTAAATATAATGGAATTCTATAGAAATATATTGCTGTTCAGTGCAAACACCAATCATACCTTGGCCACAGCAATATTAAATGGCATGTGACGTCCACAGAATTACTGTCAGATAACTGGCCAAATTGGTAAGCGTTTTTTAAATGATCTTGGGTGACCTTATTCACCTCTATATGGAATTGCTTCCTAAATGAACACCCTGTTACAATTTTACTTTGAAAGTGCTCTGTACATGTAGCATACCGAAGGGACCGCCCTATTTTATTGGATAATTAAAGTTGCTGTAAATATTTCCTGTGGAACATTTAATTACAAATAAAAGTAGAGGCAAAGTATCTACCTTTTGAAGAGCTAGAATTGTTACATTTTACAGCAGATGTTTATTTGGGTGCAATTTTACAAAAATGTTTCCATGTGCTCTAAACCGGATTGCATGGGGCTTGTTTATAGCGCACTAGTGAAGTTACAATAACTGTTTTAAAATCTGTTTCTTTCCTCATAGATTGAGGGAGAGGCATGTAGCTTTTGGTAAGAATGTATAAAAAGATAAGTAGCTTTTGACTTTACTATATGCCTATTTAATAGCATTTATTTTTTAATTAGTAGCCTAATTAAAGAGAGACCCAGTTTGACTCGATTGCTGAAGTAAATTGTCAGTGATGTCAGACATTCCTTTCGAAATATTGTCAACATTATTCTGAAACGGCATCTTCCTATATAATCTATTTACAAAAAAAACCCTAAAAAACATGGTAATATGTAAAGTAGACAAATGCATAGTAGGGATAAACTTACTCCTAGTTTACAATGGCTTTATGCCAAACTAATTCAACTTACACTCAGGAACATTAGCAAGACCCTCCCCTGTCTGCCTTTCGTCTGTGGGTTTTAATTGCAATAATTTGCATAGATCCCTGAAGCTATAAGCCCATCCCCTAACTTGAATATGTCATGGAGAGAAGCCCCCAGCTGTACAAATACTGTATGGCATGTGCCATACTGGATTAAGGTTTCCTTGCAATTGTCCAAATTACAGCATATGTGTTTATGGTGGTAATCTCCTCCCTACATGTTATATAAAATAAATATAACCAAAGGTAGGAGACACACAGAGCTGTTAATTAAACTGGGATTTGTCTGAAATAGACCATGTCAAAATATAAGGTCTTAAACTTATCTAATTAGACTATTTTGGCCTAAAACCAGAAATCCCCGGTGAAGTCTTAAAAAATTCCCAGTTTAGCGAATAAAGCATATTTGCAATGTGTAGTTGGCGAACAAAACATGGGAGTAATTATTGTCAAAACACGTGTCGACATTCAAGAACAAAGAGTTAGGAGAATATTAATCAAACTGTTACAGTAATACTGATGGTTTTCTATCCAATTTTGTGTTGAGTACAAGAATTCCTTAGCATTACTGGAATATTCACACTAAATGGTTGTCAACAACACTCTAGGATGTCAGCTACAGTAGCCAATAACTTTATATAAAACCCTATGTGCTCCCTTTTCATTTAAATAAATATTCGCCAGATTCTTTAGTTATCCTTAAGACTAAAGGCGTACCGTAAACTTTGCTTAGCTGTTCCTTTCTGGTGGAACCTTCTGAGGGGCTGAAAACATTACCTGGTGTTGCTGTATCTTACATCCACTGGAGACCTGGTTAGGTCCGTCATCAATTCTCGGCTGCCTTTGTGCGTAGAACGAGTATTTGGGTTTCCACTTTAATGGCCTGTTTGGCACATAGAGGACACACAAATGATTTAAAACTAATATATCTTAACGTAATGTTAAGACAACTTAGACACTAAAGGCACTTCTCCCTTAAGACCTTAACCTTTTTGAATGTATTCCTATCTGGCATCCTCACGCACAGCGAATATTTATAGATGGTAAGCTTGTTTGAGCAGGGTCCTCATCAAACTATTATTCCTGTAATATTTTATTGTCTAATTTATTGTTAAATCTCCCCTTTTATAACACTGTAAAGTGCTGCGGAATAAGTTGTTACTATATAAAATCATAATAAGTATGATAGTCTATATGACCTTAAACCAGCAATACAACACCAGCATCAATGACTCACTTTTGCAAAAATGCAGAATTGCTCTTGACTTCAAAATCTGATAAAATACCTTGACTATCGTATGGGTAGGCTTTTAACTTTTCTGCTGTCAGATCTCTTAAAATGCCCATATAAATATGTATCAGTCTATTTAGTTAATGGGATTTTCTAGTGCCAGGCAAACAAACCCATTTTCCTGGCACTGTAGAATCCTGGAGTGCCGCCCCATCCCAAGTTAAACCCCCTTCAGTTACTTACCTGAATCCAGCTCCGATGTCCCTCGGCACTAGGTCAGGCTCCTCCCCTGCTGACATCAGCCAGTGGGGGAAACCAAATGCGCATGCACGCATTAGACCTCCCCATAGGGAAGCAATGCTTTCCTAATGGGGGTTCCGGTGACGCCGGAGGTCCTCGTGCATAGCGTGAGGACGTCCAGCATCGTTTAAACAACTAAAAGTAGTATAAGAAGCCAGAAGTCCCCCTAATGGCTGTCTGGTAGACAGCCACTAGAGGAGGCCTAAACCCTGCAATGTAATTATTGCAGTTTATAAAACTGCAGTAATTACACTTGCAGGGTTAAGGGTGATGGGAGTTGGCACCCAGACCACTTAAATGGGCTGAAGTGGTCTGGGTGCCTACAGTGTCCTTTTAATGAAAAATCAGTGTCCTTTTCCCCTAGTTTTGTTTAGTGTAGCTGTGGTTTTAAACTGAAGTTCATGCAAACACTGGATGTTAGTAACACCTTTCAAATACAGAGGCTGTGTTTGTTGTCTGTTCTGGTTAAAGATACAAATGACAAGAATGCCTTCACCCTCTTTTGAATAGCGGTTACCCCGAGACCAGCAGAATTCGCTATATGTTCTATACAGAGATAACATTCTTTGGCCTAAAATAGTGAGGTGTTTTTTTCCCCCTTTAATTACCCCTGCAAAGAAGCATACCTTTGTAAAGTCTGCTCTAAATCAATTTTATTTACTCACATGGCAAATTGCCACCTAGTTAATTTGGCCAGACAACAAATGGGACTTTAACCGCTCAGACTGAAATGCTTTAGACAAAGTGTAACTGAGGTTTGTGTGACCAGCTGCATTAAGAGGACAATGTAAAGGAGTGAAATCACTCTGAGAAATGGATCAGTGAACAGTAACGATATTCTGACACTTTCACGAAATGTGTACATTGTTTAGTGTGCGCAGTTAATATTAAATGTGGTGTTGCTGGTTAATTGGTTAAAAAAATTACAATAAAAAAAACAGGCATTATATGGGTTCTGCTAATTGTATTGGATTTCACACATACAGTATCATCCAAATATTCTGCATATTGCTTTACATAATCGTTAAGAGAGAGACCAGTCACTCTCCAAAGTCAAAGTATGTTTCTCATACAGTTTTGGTGGGAGTAAGCGACTGATATGGTTGCTTATAGAATTCTTGGCTGAAACGTGGAGATTTGCAGTCACTTCCTGCATGAAATTGTGAGCGTTGAGGTGTTTGCTTTGTCATTTTGTTTACTTTATTAAGTGCAATTTTTCCTCCCTATAAGTGATATTACCATTGGGATAAGTCTACAGTCCTTTGATATTTGGTTTTAAACATTAAAATTAAAATTCAGGAATATTAAAAAAAAATATATATATTTTTTTCCCCCCCATCTCTACATCCATTAGTTGGAATGGTCTCTGTATCTACCATACAATGATCAGACCAGTGAACAAGTTGAGACAAAGTTTGTGGGGTTTTTTTTTTTGTGTTTTGTTTTCTTGCGGAGGGTGGGCTTGAGTGGAAGAAAGCAGTAACCTGTGCTGTCTGTGTCTGGTGACTGAGCTATTGTTATGTTAGTTGACAGTAACACCTTTGTATAGAAATGTAAAGAACTTTCAAAATGAGCTGATAACCACATCCCTGAAGTATCACATCCACCTGTTTCCAATGGAAATCACTTCCACAGATTGGATAAAGATTCCGGAGTAGCAATTTCCCATTTTACTGAATGACTTCACATCTTACTGATGTCCCTGTACAATACCTCAGCTACATGCATCTATTGTGCAGGTGTGATAATGCTGAGGAAGGAAGTCCATTAACTCCTTTTATTTTCTCCCACTCCCCACCTTCATCACTCATGTCTTATCAAAACTATTCAGTTTACTTACTCAAAGAAGCGGAGGGGGATCGGTATTTGTCTCTAATTCTCTGTGGCTTAAAATTTTAGTCATATGCTACTAGCCAAATATTACGTTATTTTCATTAGGGGTGAATTTCTACTTTCCACAGCTAAATCTTCACTTACAAATGGCAATTGGAAATTTTGAACCCTGTGTGTGTATGTGTATGTATGTATGTTTTGAACCCTATGTGTATGTATGTATGTATGCTCCTCCCCTGCTGACATCAGCCGGTGGGGGAAACCAAATGGGCATGCACACATTAGACCTCCTCATATGGAAGCAGTGTGTAATAAATAAATATATATATATATATATATATATATATATATATATATATATATATAATATATATATATTTGTGTGTATATAGTGTTTTGTTTTTAGGGATGTGGCAACATTGGTCTGTTTTTATGAAAAGTGACAGCAGATTCTGTCATTCTAGAATGGCACATAGTGGTGGGGGCCTAATAGACCAGTGTCAGATTTTGCTACTTTCTAAACGTGTGCAGTGTGTCAGATAATCTCCTTAATCCTGTAATGAATTGGTGCTGAATCTTACACCAACATTTGTGATTATTGAGGGTACAGGTGACCTACTGGACCACCTGTGCACAAATAATGAGATGCTGCTCCTTAACAAGACAGGTTATAAATCTTTCAGTGACCAGACTATCCTAAGGATGAATTTGGTTTGTCCTGACTTATCTGGTAATAGAGAATTCAAGACTGCTGCAATTATCCAATTTGTTAGTTGTAATTATGGCCATTGGGCAATTAACGAAAAATCTTCTACACTTATAAGCGCGTATTAGGCCTTCCCCATAGGAAAGAAATTAATGCCTTACTATTTGAATTTTGAAGATGCTGACGTCGTCCTAATTCAAAGCGTGAGGACGTCCAGCCTCGTTTCATGGAGTTAAATGCCGTGTAGATCTAGAGGTTGTCTAACTGCAATGTTTACATTGCAAATTTAAGAGAACAGGGACACTGCACCCAGTCCACTTCGATGAGATTAAGTGGCATAAGCTTTATATGAGGGATACAAGCCATGACATGTCCCTGACGTGGAATGAAAGACAAGGTTTAATTTTGTTTATTTCTGTATATTGTAGATTTTCTTTGCAGATACGAACACTTATGCCAATAGACCTTGTAATCACTTTGATAAGATAATATAAACACAATGGCTGTCCAGAATATGTAAACTGAGAGCATCTTTCTCTACAAGATGGTTTATCAGTCAACTTGCAAACAATCCCTTATCCAGGCTGGGCTTTGTAATTTAGACTTCCCATCAGAAGGCCAATCAGTGAGAGCTGATTCGGTTTGTGGTGATTGCATTATGCATCCAGATACCACTCTATTGTATCTAAGCACATTTACTGATTTTGGGACCTGGTCTGTCTAATCATTAGAGGCTGCACATGCATTAACATATTAGAACAATCTGCTACTTCAATCATAAACTGTTAAGTAAAACAAACTCACTCCCAACAGAGTGTAGATCTGCACTGTGCCATAAACGCTGACATTTTGTTTAGTATATCCTCTCTGTGATGTTACCCGACAGTCAGGGATTCCATTTGTGGTATATTGCCCATGGGGTAGGGCACACATGCCTGCTGCCTAAAAGATACTCCTTGCTGATTGGTATAACTTTACAACCTATGAATATTAATTGTAAAAATTCCATCTTTTAAATGAGTTGTTGGATTCTGCCTCTAGGTCCATACACAAGGATTGTTTTACAAAGTATGTAAAGTATTTGAAAAGAAGATGAGCCTGTTGCTGTATTTATTCAGTGACCCATTCCATATTAAGCAAATCCTCTATTCTTATGCCAACAAAAAACCAATGGGCAATTTATTGAAATTGTAATAAAAAAGCCAGTACCTTAACCGCATTACTGCATACATCCTTTACAATTGGGACTTGTAGCATATTGCTACATGTATAAAGATTAAAATTGCCTTCCCTTAACATCCATTGAGGAGATACGGATAAAATCCGTGGTTTCTGTAGGATCTCTGACCAGACTTTTTGGTTTCGAACTGGAGATAGTGTAGGTTGGACTATTGCTGTTTTATTGTTGAAGAATAAAGATCAAAAGAGGGACATCAGAATAAGACTTGACGTGTATCAAAGCCAACTCGCCTTCTTATCCATAACACAGAAACTGTTAAGCCTGATAATAATAAAAAGGACCTAAAAAAAACAATATACCATGCTTAAGATTTTAATATATTGGCCTCATTCTGTAATGGAACATTGTGAACATCATCATTATATGAACATTCCCACCCCGTAACAACTTAATCTCAATGAAGTTGTAATGGGGTGAACTGCCGCACACTTTGTAGGGCAGTCGGAGGAGGAGAAAAGAGGCAGTGTGGCTGGGTGCTTGGGGTGGGGCAGGGTTAACTTTGGGGTGAAAGAGTTAATAAAACAGTTTTAACCCATGAAGGTAAGGTGGCGCCTAGTCACTTTAGCTATTATAACTTCATTGATGTTAAGTTGTTATGGTGTCTGCACATTGCAGACATCTGACATCCATTCAAAGTGCTTGAGTGTGAAGAAACTCTTTATAAAGTGAACCAAAAATCCGAGCTAATCCGTCTGAATTTCATTTTTGAAAAACCTACTTAAAATAAGTTAATTTTAAATCGTTAAAATGTTAGTTTATAAAAAAAAAAAAAAAGACAAAATAAAATACCAACAAGCATCATGGAGTAGTATTTGTTTGTTTGAACAGAGAGGAGTAAGAAAGTATACAGAAATAAATATTGGCTTGATCTTCTAACCCAGAAAAGACTTCCGTTTTTAGCAAAAGTTACATAATCAGTGTCCGTAACTTTAACCATTCCCCGCTCGTTTGCAGAAATTGTGTTCTTGAGCTTTTCCCCAGGATGGAAGGACACATCAGGAGCTGTCTCCGTGACTTTATTATCCAAACCTTCCTTTAAATAATGTGATTAGTGGACAGACTAATGCCTGCCCTAGCATTAAGTGGTTCAGTTTGAATACGGTATAATTTCAAGTAATGCTTCTATTAGTCAGCTCTACTACTAGCTGTATCTATAAATCTCTCAGAACACCACCATTATTTTTGGAGTTATGGAGGAAGTTTTTTGAATTACAATACACGGACAGTGACTAGGTTGTGGTTAAGCCTTTGTCTGTCCACATCAAGAGTTGACTAATATAGACGCGTTCACCCCAGTCAAATGAGAGACCTTCGAGGTAATTGCAGTATGTGGCATACTAGCCCTTTTTATGGTTTTCATCGTATCAGATGTTTGTGTGGCCCTTGGCATTTTAACACCTGGCTGGAAAATGCCTGGAGCTATGTAGTTCCTTCCAAAAGCATTCAGGCCTATTTGTTTTTGGTTTTCTTTGTCATTTCTTGTTCTCTTCCTTCAAAACCCCACAAAAGCCTTTATCACAAGCGAGCACAGGTGATTGCCTCACATTTGGAGAAGAGAGGATATTTAGAGTTTTTGCTGTGGAATCCATTATAGAATGTCTGCCATAACATTCCGAGATCTGTAGATCACATGACTTGCACCAGATTTTAAATTGTCACTCTAATCACTCCTCACCCTTTTTGTCTATAAAATGGTCTGATATTTTGCCCTGAATAGTTGAGCTTTTTCGCTTTGCAATTATTTAGTATAAAAGCACAAACTGGTCTTGTATCTACCACAAACTCCTATCCCATTTGCATTTACAGGTCAACTTATGAACCTGCGTACAATGTGCCCACCGTGTCACATTATAAACCTAGATCTAAAACGAAAAATTACGACCGTGTAACAAATGTTATCCATAGACAGGAAGTTATTCCCTATATTGTAAGCGCATCAAAAGATGTGCACACTCCAATTTTCAATTTCGTTATTGATTTTCTAGGACACCTGAAAACTGCTTGACTTGTGGGATTATATTAAAACATAAAATTACCGCCTTATATTTTATGTTGGGGATTTATTTATTTATTTTGATAAAACTTTAAGAAGAGAAAAATAATTTACAATTGCAAGTCAGGGCAAAGTTTGCAAATGAAGAGGAGATTCTAGAAACCTATTCATTCCTCCTGTTATCTGTATGCTTTCCCTGCACTGACTGCCAGGTGTAAAGGACAGCATTTATAACAATGATTGACAGGGAGTGAAGACATAGGCACCCAGCTGTAGGATAAAGAGGTGTGAATTGAAACATTTAACTTTGTTGCACACTGCACAAATACACTTAAAAACATTCCCCATATTTCACTAATCATGTTTATTAAAAAAAAAAAAAAAAAAAAGTAAAGTCTCCATTGTTCTTTAATACATCATGTGATTTCAAGACGTAACTGCAAACAATGTTGTTCAGAAATGAACATACTTTGTCTAAAATATTCTATATTTGAGAAATTAACTATATGAAATTATAGATGAAAGAGATACAACAATGGTCCACCAGAGTCGTAGTGGTTGTCGGATACTACGGGGCATAACCCCAAAAGAAAAATAGAGAAAGAAAGAGAAAGTAGGACAAAATAGAGATATAATCGACAATATCTCTCTATATGAAATAATTTATATAAAATAAGGCCCAATATAAATCCTGTTTATATACTTGTATTTTTTATTTATTTTTTAAATTGTGAAAACAATTTGTTTGGAACTTGGTTACGGAAAAGACCATATGTCTGAGGTTGTCTGTCATTGAAAAAGTCCCAACAGGTTTATTACCTGTGAGTCAAATGGGAATACTCAGGTAAGCCTAGTGATTCGGAATGATGTAGATCAGCTCCAGGTGTGAAGCATTGTTGACCTCTTTTTTTTTACTTGTTTAGACAGAATGCTCTGAGCGTACTTACTTTACATCCAATAATCATTCCCCAAATCCCTCATCTGTTTCTCCAATTCCCACCATTATTTTAACCTCTTATTTTATCATTTGACAGAAAATGTAATTGTGTATGTAAATAAATCGATATGTACTAATTTCGTCTACAGACCATGACCATAGTAACATAAAGGAGCAATTTTCTTACAAAGGGACTGTCACAGTTTAAATATTGAACATTAAAATCTACTAGTAATTGGTTATTTTTTTTTTACTTTAGATTTTGTGTGTGTTTTTTTTTATTTATTATTTATATATGTCTGTTTATTTTTGTAATGCGTAGGTAATGATTAAAAAGCTGCGACTCCAGCATCCTATCTATATTGTGTCTGAGTCAAAGCTGTTGGTCTGTCCTCCAACCGTACACTAAATCACGCATTTTACAACATAATGACATACTTAGGATTGACTAAAATTATTTGAATAGTGTCACTTATTGTCCACATGTCTCCACAATGTGCAGAATGTGATCTTCTGTTGGTTTAGAGATTTATAATCTTAAATTATGTGTGGGTGTTGTGTAAAGAGTAATTCTGGGGCAAAGTTCTATATATGGAGCTATCGTCATGGCAACCAATGGGCAATTTCTGCTATTTTTACAGACTCCCCGTTGGACTGGGATTTATCAAGATGCATATTACCTTTGCTGTTTTGCAATGTTTAAGCATTTAAATTTTTATCTTCTATGGGTGCTAGGTATTGGCAATTAAGTAAGCTATGATTTTCTGGCATTATAAACCATTACCAGAGTACTATAACTTCTCAAATCAATCTCTATTCTGGATGCTAGAAAGGAAGAGAAATGTATTTATTTTTATTTATTTTTCTCGCATACAGTGATTTAGGGGATTTTCAGCCGTACATGGCAATGTAATTGTGTTTTTGGCAGAGAAGTGTGCCTCACCTTTAAATGATTTCACAGATCCGAGCGATGCACATTTCCAAAGTCCCATAAGACTGTATTTCTGGGAAGATCTTAAAGAATCCTGTGCAAAGCCAGTCAGCAATTTTATTTTTTAAAAGATTTCCTCCCAGAATGAAAAAATAACAAAATATAGTAGAATATAAATGGTTTACTTTTCATTCTCTTTATAATAGGTTACCTAAATTATTCTTGTTTAAAGGGACATCTCGTTGAAGTGGTCATGGTTCAGTGCCCCTGTCCCTTTAACCCTGCAATGAAAATATTAGTTTTATAGAAAACGCAATGCTTATCTTTCAGGGTAAAGACTTTCACAGACGGCCACTAGAGGTTCCTTCTGCAGTTTCACAGAGTTTAACTCTGTGGCACGATGCTGGACATTTTCATGCTTTGCATCCCCAGCATCTTGCAAATCCCCATAGGAAAGTATTGATTTGTGCATGCGCATTGGGTTGCGATTTGTACACAAGGACACAGCTTTGCTTTATATCCCTGTGGAGGTGATGAACTGATCATCATAATTCTAAAGCTGATAAAATTAGTATACAATCTATTGGGTGTTTATAATACTATGTGATTTAGTGTGTATTGCCCCGAAGGTGCATCCAAGCTTAGGATGTTGTTTTAGTAGCAACCTGTGACTCTTGGGATGCTTCCAAACTGAAGCCAATAATCTACCACCAGCCAGCATGCTGTAATTATAGCCATCAGAAAATTATAGTAGTTAGAACGCTGTGTATAGGATACCCCTGCTCCAGGCTGCTACAATTACTTGTATTTTTGGTTCCCAATACCTATCATAAGGGAATATTATCTTACATATAAAATGGAGATTTAAAACTAAAAACACATTTGTAATGAAACTTATAAAAAAAAAAAAAAAAGAAAATGTTGCTTATGCTGTGGCATTTCCATGGAAACACATTTATTGAATAAAGTTCTCTACTGATGTCCTTGATCTCGTACTTCGATGGTAAAATGAATCAAAAGCTGATCATGTTCCCTTTTATAGGGAGAAATATTCATCAAGCGGAAAATGTAATTGAATCTGTGAACGGGGGTGGGGAAGGTGGGGTGGGGAGTTGAGAAGGTAAAGTAAAGAGGTGACTGGGTTAATGTGTTTCAATAAATAACTTGCTGCAGGGGAAAGTGACTACTTTATCATGTAATACATGATGTGCATTGCTAATTGCGGATGGTAAAATGTCAAGAATCTTGGTTGTGTTTTCTTGCAGGTGCAGCAGCTGTTCCTAAATGTTAGATCTGCGTGTGTGTAGTGTAAATACATGTATAAGTAAGTGAGGGTGTGTGTGTGTGTGTGTGTGAGTGTGTTCTGCGTATTTTTAATTTTGTAACGAATGTATATGTAAAATTAAAGTGTTGCCCAAGGAATACATTTGCACATCTTGAACACGTCTGCCCCGTCGTCTGGGCTCTGCATCCCAGTGGTATGAAGGAGCCAGTGTGCGACTTCAAAAACTGTGTTGAGGACAACTGCTTGTAACCATTTGCAAATTTAATGCCTGGAGGATAGGAAATTTCAAAGAAACCAAGCCTTAACTTTTAAATGACAAGAGTGTCTGCCCAGTTGAATACCCTTCCATTTTAAATTTTTTTTTATTATTCTCAAAGATGGCTGTTTTAGCCTAGTAAAAATTTGCGCCGATTTGTTGAGTTGTAATATGAATGGTTTCGGTTTTAGTGGGTCCTTTAATAGTTTGCCTTTAGGAAGTACAAACAGCCATTTGTTTACATACACTAAACTGTAGCCCTGATAACAATGTGGCTTATTGTATGGAGTGCTCAGACACATGTGCATAAATGAATCCCCCTTTCCTGTTCAAAATGGATAAATAAAATACTTTTGGGTCCAGAAGCCGTAAATGGCTGCCTTTACATTAGTTGTTGGACTAGATCTCACATACTGCCTGACTAGATCCTATAACAGCTAGGGGGTGCTGTTTGACATCCAAGATAATGGCTCTGTTCCAGTCCTTATTCATGTCATAATTGCTTGATGATCTTAAATGATGTTTGGATATGATTAACCTTAGCTGATTAATTCATTGTACTTAAAACAATGCTGGTTTTTAGGGAATTAACTTGAACAATATCTGTAAATTTAATCTGGAGTTTTAAGTTCCATAGTCCCAAAAGTGAATTATCTTGTGAATTGATTGTGTGTGTGTGTGTGCTGTATCTGTCTAGCAATTAGTATCAGATGTGATTGGAGCAGGTTTTGTACAGTACTGGGAATTGTTTCCTGATTGTCAAGGAATGTCTTGTCTTGTTCACATGCATGGGCTATTTATGTAGCCTCCTGTTGTGTTTAGAAGACCAATGAATTGAGGTTTCCTTTTCATGCACATGGGAGTGGGCAAGTTGCCTCTGTATGGGATCTAGGCTGTAGGAAGTGGAGGGAGCTGGTTGAAGTCCATCCCAGTTCACTGTTGTTGGAATTTTTGAATGCAAGATCATGAATGGGTGGGCTGGGTCTGTGACATTGTGAATAAGTAGAGGGGTGGACTCTTAGAAGTACAGGTAGGGGATATGGTCTGAACTCTCATTTGGAAAACAGAGAGGAAAGACTGTGGACTAAGTTTAATCCCAGGGATGTTTGCAGCTGCTTTGTAGAGATACTTTGCCCAGGATTCTAAATTACCATTTTAAGATTCTATCAGGTAAGGGTATTATACTTTTTTTATTCTGGGTGACATTTCTGCATGCTTTTTTTTGTTTTTTATTTTTATCCTTATCCATGCAAATATACTTTCTAAAATGTATTGATTTATTTTATATACATAGTTTGGATTTTGTTTTTATTTATTTAGAATGTTTGCCATTTAAAAAAAAAAAAAAAAAAAAAATTTTAAAAAATTTAATGATACAATTTTGCAGAGAACATTGTGTTTTTTGTTCTTGTTTTTAATTCCTTTTTGTAAATGGATTATTATAATTAGAATTACCTGCAATTCACTGCAGTCACTTAATCTTCAGGCTCTCTGTAAGTGAGGTTAATTGGATGTAGATGGATGAACTGCAGGACTACACACTGAGAGAGCCAGGTAAAACGGCCCCTGAACTGTGCCTCTGTTCTGTGTGACACACAAGATGGCCTCACTTGTGATCCCTTTATATGAAACAAACCCAGCATTGGTACTTTGCATGTGTACCTTTGTTGTCAGATGGTTTAGACACAGGGCCTGTCTGATATGCAGGTGGTCTAGGTAGGATTACATTTCAGTTTTGAATGACTGCCATTTTTCATTTTCAGTGTTTTAGCAGTTGGGTTTGTGTGTGTTTTAAGTCTTTTAATTGTGACTTCTGCTTTTCTTACCATAAGGACTTAAATTATTAATAGACACGTTTATTAATTTACTTTCTTAGTTTTCAAAAGTCTATTTTAAATGTAAATTCTAGCCAAGAGAGGGTTTGCATTTATTGTCTTTGTTACATATTGTTGTTTTATGTATGTGTTATATAATTGGCTAATTAAGGTATTTTTGTGTAACTTTGTGGTTAAGAATGGAATTCTCAGTCACAATTGTGTGTATTTTAAAATGGTTTGTGGGGAGGTGTTTTTTCTGGAAACTAGTTTCAATTGGGTCTTGTAAAAATTGACAAAAGGAGTGTTGTTCCCAATCTAACAGGTGACTGTGTGAAAAGTTAAGGATCATTTGCTACAGTCCTTCTTTATAGAGCTGAAATGCAAGGCAGGGGGTTTAAAGCAGAAATGGTGGCTCCATTAGAAACAAGCGCTCTAGATTATTGGCCTGATACTTGTCTTGATTTGATATATTGCACAGAATGCCAATCCAAACAGTGAATTCTGGCTGAGTGTAAGTTGTGCTATCGCTTGTGTTTTTATTTTGGATGCTTGCCTTATCCACTTTAGATTTCATTTCTATTGAGGCTTAAAAAAAAAAAAAGGGTTTACATTTTAACCTCCCATTGCTAGAGGCCATTAATTCCAACAGACTTTCTACTTTACCCTGTTTTACTATAATGCATCTATCATCTGTTTTTGTGGGTTTTTATGTTTTGTTTTTCAGAGAAAGAAAACTTTATTATTCGGCCTCTGCTATAATTTTGTAATTCTAGTACAGCATTATGAGCAGTATTTTGGGCCCATCCAAACCTTTACTACATACATTTTGACAGTGTGCATTTAATACATACTTGTGTTCTCTAACTAAATCGTGTTACCATGGGTATAGGAAACGGGGGGGGGAGGGGGGCTAGCCTTTAAAATCATGTGGGACTGGGATTATTATGAAGCCCAAATGTGTTTCTGTGGTTCCTACAGCAGTGTGTATTCTGTTCACTTTTCACCAAAGTTTTTTTTTTTTTAAATCCGGTGTGTAATCCACGTGGTTCGGATGCTCAGAAATTCCATAGAACAGGTTTACTTTGTGATGAGCTCAGGCTTAAAACTTCCACTTTGTGTTCTGTTAACTAATTGTGTCGTAATGATCTAACTCCGGGTTTTGGTGAATAAATCATTAACAGAATGGCAGGAAAGTGGCTTTATATTTACTGATTTACAACCTCCCTGGCCTTCCACCCCCATCTTTTGGTGTTTTCCCAACCAGTAAAACATTGTTCTACCAATACTCTGTAATTCCTTGATCAGAATAGTTGATACAAAAGTAGCAGCCTAATACATTTCTTTAATTGGGAAAACTCCATTTAAATTCTCCAGTCCTGGGTGGGTAAGTAGTTGTATTTTCTATTCAGCTGGAAGCTATACCCCCCTTTAAGTGGCTTTCCACCCGTTCAGTTTTTACAGCTGCTCAGTTGGTTTCTGCATGCTGACTGCTACTGACATGGCTGGCTGTTTACCACTTCCTTTGAAGAATTTGTGCAACTGTAAAAGCATTCAGTGGCCTGGCTTCCAGCAGACTTCATTCCTGATACACACTTTTTTTTTATTTTATTTTTTCAGCAGGTTTGTTTAGTCAATATTTTTCTACCTGTAAGTAAGAAGTGCAAAGAATTATAATGGAACTGTGTATAATACACACGATGGTCTTTAATAGGCCCAGTGTGTCATTTTTAACATTGAGGCCCAGTTTTTTTTGTTTTTTTTTTCCTATTGATTTAAAAAAACTCGCGTTAAAATTAAGCTTTAAAAAAAAAGAGATTGTTGTAAAAAGGACTATTTTAAGACGTTTCAATCCCCCACATTCACACTTACGACCTTCTGTTACTAGATTGGTGGTGTTTCGTGTAAACCCAACACCTTTTTTAGCTCCTGTAAAATGAAGGCCCCACACATTTAGAGCTCAGCACTGTACTAGTAACAACAAACCCTTTCCGGTGCACGTTTTTTACTGCCGCGTTGGTTAATTACAAAGCATATCTTTAGGAAGTTCCGAGGACTGCTCTCGGTTTTCACTAGTTCTGTTGCCCCTTGGAGGTGGAGAATGTCTGAGAAGGAGTAACATACAGTCTGTCAGGAACATGGTCTACACAAATCTTAATATCCAAGCAATGTAGGTTCATGATTAGCACAATACATTAAATAGCCAAACACTGGCATGAGTGTGTTAATACATTGCCTGAGATATACACTGGCTCATTTTTATTTACCTCCGTTTGATTTACAAGGTATTCTATTCATAAGATTTTTATTTTTTTTTAAATCTTTCTTTTTTTAAAAAGTTTTTTTTTTTTTTATGTGCTTTGTGTTTTCTTGGACTTTTAGATTTCAGAAATCTTTTATTTTTATATATAAATTTCCTCAAATTCTTTCAGTGTAGGATTATATGGTACAGCCTACAGAAATCTATCCATTGAGCAATGTGTGTCTTGACCTGCTAGTGAGCAGCTATGGAGACAACTCCACCATTATATATGCATCACAGTGTCTGTACTGTATGCAGATGCTAATGTTACAGTCTGGTTAAGCCATCATGTTTCACATGTATAAGACGCTCTTTGTGACTACTTCCAAACCTAAGAATGGTTCACAGTCTGGTTTTCCTGCCTTTTGCCAAGGTGATGTCTTTACCGTAGGATCCCCCAGAATTCAGATTTACACCGTTTAAAAGAAAAAAAAAGTTTTGTAAAAAGCCCAAATGCTTTTACATCTGGATTTTTTTTCTTCTTCTTCGATATATGCTTTAAATTGGGTTAAAATAAATATATCTTTTTTTTTTTTTTTAAAGTTTATAGTTGAACTAAGTTCTAGGAGTTGTATTTTTTTATTTTTTTTACCAGTGCAATGTGTCCCATCTCCCTAGAACAGATTCCAGCTACTGATGTTTCTGGGAATTTTGGTCCATATGATGTTCAGCCAAATGTTTTATACAGAGAGTTTTGTAAAAACATTCCCTCTCTGAATATCTAAGAGGACTCTTGTCTTTCACACATACAACCCACAGGACTTCTACTGACAATTGTGACAGTTACATTTTATATAGTTTTTCTGTTTCCCAAGAATTTACACACGTCTCCTATTACAAGACATCAAAGGGTGGAAGATTTGATCTGTTTCCCACTCACAAACCAAAATGAATCATTGATGTTTTAAATGAACTTTGCAGACTATGGACCTCCAATGTACAGAGGTGACAGAGTAGCGATCATTTATGGCTGAACACAATAAATTCTATTCTTTTTAAGGCTTGTCCCAAATGCCAGCAATATATGTAGTGTACATTTTGTGGGGATATGGTCACCACAACTTAAGACTCCATTTGAACATCATTTTTTTATCCCCACAGAAAAGTTGATGAGCTGGAACAAAACGTTAAATAAAAACTTGATATTTGCCCGTGGAAATGGAGCAAAAAGTCAATAAGCTCACGTATGGGTGTCAAAGAAGTTCCACATCGGATGACGACTCTGGATGTGCAATGGAAGAATACACTTGGGTTCCTCCTGGCCTTCGACCTGAACAGGTATGGTGAATTGGCCATTGTCTTGCTGATCATCTCCCTTATATACAAAGTGTAATTAACCTGCTATCAAATAATTCAACTGGTTTTAGGGCGTGCAAATGGTTTTTCAAGAAAAAAATGACAATTATTTATATAGCACAGAGCTGTACAATATCTAAAGTAGACAAACATTTAACTCTAACAAAACATATGGGGACAATATGTTAAGAGGGTCCTACCCAAAGGAGCTTACAATCTGAAGAACATGTTATGTACTTTGTAACCGAAAGAAAGCTAATTATATTCTTTTTTTCATTAATATTTAAAGACGGCAATAAATATTCCAAATATTTACTATCCTTTTGAGACTCGTTACTGTCTGTGTTATTGAGTTTGTATTTGCACAGACACATGACACATTCTGATTAGAGGTGCAAACAAACACGGCAAAGGTGGTAACGTGAATTGTGAGGTCCTCGAAAAGAGGGACTCTGGGATAGAGTAGAGGGAGAGCGTTTTGGATCCTAAAGATAAGTGAAATGACTAGATTGGATAGGTTTCCCTACAGAATTGCAACAATAATTTGAAAGTCTTCTAATGATGACACGTGCAGATTTTGTTTAGAGATTTAAAAAGACTGCTTTTTGGGTGTTCCTGGTTTAAAAACTAAAAGGTGTGTCTGGCATAGTGATTGCTATTAGGTCTGCAGATAAGCCATACCTCTTCAAAGGAAAAAAAAAAGCTGCATCTGGTTAAAACATGTTGAGATTTACCCTTCCCATGTAGCAGACTGTGGGTCCGTTGGAGGAGGAAAAAAAAAACCTCACATGGAAACAATGAAAACTGATGATATGAGAGATCCGGCCTGCAGGAGATACAGACAAGCTTTTGTCTCACTGTTGTGTAAAATGCAAGAAACCAATTAAACCTGTTTATAGGGGCTGGTTTTCTAGCTAGGTTAATATGCTAGTATTTCTCCTAATTGTAGATAGATATGTTGGAATGTCCACTGAGTTGTTGACTGGTCCTCAAGGAGGTGGACATAATGGCAGTATTAAAAATGTATAATTTATGATACCACCTAATGGTCACTGCAAGCTACATTCCATAGGAGCAATCCAACAGCTGGGTGCAAGCAAACTATCTATCTAGTGGTGCGGAGTTAGCTTATCTGGAGCTCGTTAGAGTAGACGCTCAAAGCTGACACAGATCTAATAGAGCATTTGTGTTTTTCCCATTCTAGTGTCTCAACCTCCTATCTCTATTCAGTATCTCCCACCAGTGGCTTATGTAGGATAAAATTATTCAAAATATCTTCTGTTTCTCTGTTCCAAAACGCAGGTCCAGTTATACTTTGCTTGTCTGCCGGAGGAAAAGGTCCCATACGTTAACAGCGTGGGAGAAAAGTATAGAATCAAACAGCTTCTCTATCAGCTTCCTCCACACGATAATGAGGTAATATTAAGATTTCTTAATCCACTGATGCAACCATTTAAGAAGAGTATGCAATACACAGGCCTGGCTGAATATCCTGCTCAGAGTTTGCTGCTTTGTTACAGATTAGCTTTTTGTTTGTGGGTTGTTGGTTTTTTTTTTTTCTTAATTTTTTTTGTATTGCATCTAAAAGTACTTCCTGAAAGGTGTTGTCACCTATTACTGTAGGTATTTAAACCAGTGGGAGGTCCCCTCTAGCACCCCTATTTTTATTCAATTCGGATATCCCTGTTTTGTTCCGACTGCTGCTGTAGTTTGCAATTGAACAATCACTGGAGTAAAAAGCCAGTTGAGATAGATATAGATAAAATCTCTTTTAAATATAATTTACTGCTTTTACATTTATTCTCTAAAGGGAGAATTGTAGGGAATTAAAAGTGCGTTTCAGATTTGAGGCCACGATATCCCCCAAAAAGTAGCTGACTTCTTCCATTTTAGCTATTTCGGCCTAAATGTAGAATTCACTTTGAATTCCCACTATAGTAAATAACCCCACATTGCAGTTTCCCCCTCCCCATATGTTTCAGTGACTAGTCAGGTATATTTTAAGAATGTCTACACAGACTGAGCTTTTTATAGTGTTTGCTCTTCGATTCCACCTTCCAGGGCTGTTTGAATTCCAAGATACATTGTACTGTGAATGTTTTCAGACAGCAAACATACTTTTATAATGTTTACTTATTACAATCTCATTGTACAAATTGTAATGCCAAATAACTCATTATTTGCAGGGCCATTAAGTAGCCATAGTGTATTTGCCCTTCTGTTGAATTTGCCAGTCAAGTGTCAAAATAAGCCACAAGCCTAGAAATGCTTACCGTTGCTTTTAATGTCCTATTTATGTAGGTGCGATATTGCCAGTCATTAAGTGAGGAGGAGAAGAAGGAATTGCAAATGTTTAGTACCCAGCGCAAAAAGGAGGCCCTTGGAAGAGGCAATATTAAATTATTGTCAAGGGCCGTGATGCATGCTGTGTGCGAACAGGTAACTTATTATTCTGTTTTATGGTCACTTAGCATTTGAGGCTTCTGAATACATTTCAGATATTTAACTGAACTGTTGTAAATTGTCAGTGTAGTGTATGTGTGTAATATATTATATATATTTATATTAGAAAACAAAATAGGCAGGTTTATTTACTAAAGTGACATTTCAAAATTAAGGTCAAAATAGGCACACTGAATAGCTAAATTAGAGAATTATCCAAGTTAGCCTACTGTGGCCTTAAATTTGAGTTTACTAAATAACTGTCAATCTATGCGGAAAATTTTCAGGAGACTGTCCCTATAAATCTTTTTATATCCACCTCGGGTTTTCCTTTCCGAATTTGAACTATCTATGAAAATTCTCTGTCTGGTTCCCAGGGGCAGCTGATCCTTTTGATTTCCTTGTTATTCTGTATACACTTGCGTATTCTGGGCTCGAGCTAATGCTCGTACAGACGTGAGCATAAAGAGTTTTCTGCATTGGAAAAGTGTCAAATTGTACCCAGATGGCTAACGTTTTATTAAAAACACATTCTAATAATGAATCCCAGGCTAAGTGGTTCCCTAAGTATCTACTTAACATACATCAGCAATATTTTTCTTGGTTTTGAATCCTTTTACGGCAGGAGATTATTACACTTTGCTCCATTTTGGGTTTTTAAAGGGGTGTTTAAATTCCATGGTTGGTTTTATGTCACAAGTAGTATTTTTTCTTTTAATTTGAATGGTAACGAATGTGCCAACAATCCATCAACATGGAATAATGCTCGACTTGTTCTAATTGATTTTTTTTTTCTATTATTCTTCTAGTGCGGAGGGAAAATTAATGGAGGTGAGATTGCAATTTTTGTGTCACGAGCTGGACCAGGGGTCTGTTGGCATCCGTCATGTTTTGCATGTTCAACTTGCAACGAGCTGCTTGTTGATCTGATCTACTTCTATCAAGATGGAAAAATACATTGTGGTAGACACCATGCAGAACTACTTAAGCCAAGATGTTCCGCCTGCGATGAGGTACATTCTTGCACACCACCGTCCTCTTATCCTTTTTGATTTGCTCTAAACTCTTATGATCACTTTCAAATCTTGCAAATCCTGATGTAAAAGTAACTAAAGTCAACATCATTGACCTTTACCCTGGGGGATAAAAAGAACAAAGGTTTTGTTAAGTCTTGGCTCTTGTTGAAAGGATTACAGTAAGGCGTGCATGTAGTGTAGTAGTTTGAATTACAAAAGGATAGAAATAATTACAATAGAGAAACTCTCCATGACACGACTTCCTATCATTCACTCTCGGAAGTTTACTATTTAGGTACGGAATTCCCATGTGGCAGTTTGGGTACAATCCCAGTATACACAATGTATCACAATTTAAAAAGTAAAAACATGATGTTTTTGCCATGTTGCTACAGTGTTATGCAATGTACGCTGAAAGTTTTTATATGGCAGTTGAGTGAGCACCAGATTGTTTCATTTGGGAAAGTCTGTGGGTGGGGGATCCCTTTCTTTCTTATTTAAAAGTGAACTTTAAACACATAATTCCTACAACCCACCGGTTACGGGGATATGGTGCTAGGTGCCCCTTGGTACTTTATTGGAAAAATTGGATAATGTTAATTGCGGAAGGGAACTACCACATTAGGGCTAAAGGGGCTGTAGGGTGTCCACCCGGGGTAAATGTGAAACTATTTAAAAATTATTTTAAATTGGCCTTTTCCAGTTCAAGGGAAGTATCAGATATAATGATGGTAGGCATCTTATTAAGAACTAATTACAATTAATTTCTTCTATTTTACTTATTTTTCTATTTATTCTAACTTGCGGCATTTATAATGGTAAAAAATATATATTTTTGCAGATTATATTTGCTGATGAATGCACGGAGGCTGAAGGACGGCATTGGCACATGAAGCATTTTTGCTGCTATGAGTGTGAAACCGTACTTGGGGGACAGAGATACATCATGAAAGATGGTCGCCCTTTTTGCTGTGGCTGCTTTGAATCTCACTACGCAGAGTATTGTGAATCCTGTGGAGAACATATAGGTATTATATGCTTTTTTTTGGTTTGTTTTGTTTTTAAGTGGTTGCATAAATATAACTGTTGAATATAAATGTGAACCTTTTTTTTCATTGTTTTCCTAGAAATGTTAGCAATAATTTGTCCACTATTGTCATTGTAACAAAACTTTATTTTATTGTACTAGGTGTTGACCATGCACAAATGACCTATGATGGGCAGCATTGGCATGCTACAGAAACCTGCTTCTCATGTGCCCAGTGTAAAGTTTCTCTTCTGGGGTGTCCGTTTCTTCCTAAAAAGGGCCGAATTTATTGTTCAAAAACCTGCAGCCTTGGAGAAGATGTTCACGCTTCTGATTCTTCAGACTCTGCGTTCCAGTCTGCAAGGTCAAGGGAATCGAGAAGAAGTATACGTATGGGGAAAAGCAGTCGATCTACAGATCAGTGCAGACAGTCACTTTTGCTGTCTCCAGCATTAAATTACAAGTTTCCTGGACTATCTGGTAATGCCGATGATACTTTGTCACGCAAGATGGATGATTTGAGTTTATCAAGGCAAGGAGCCGGATTTGATAATGACTATTGGAAAGGACGCGATGAACAAGATACTCCAGAGGATCATGAAGAATGGGCTGAGCATGATGACTACATGACTCAGTTGCTTTTAAAGTTTGGAGAAAAAGGACTCTTTCAGCAGCCCGCCGATGACAGTCGATCTAGTGAGCACTGGATGTCAGAAAATATCCAAAGCAATAATGATTTAAAAAGAAATGGTCACAGTCAAAGTTTGGCAAGTAAAAAATATCAGGCAGATATGTACTGGACCCAATCACAGGATGGTCTGGGAGATTCTGCTTACGGCAGCCACCCAGGGCCAGCGAGCAGCAGAAAAATACAAGAACTGGATATCGAACATGGAGCCTCTGGTTACAAACATGACACAACACCATGGTATAAGGGCTCATTGGAGTGTTTATCTGATGGTCTCAAACCACAAAATACAAACATTTGTGATTCCATGGATTCGTTGGCATTGTCAAATATAACAGGTAGAGTCTTTATTTTTATCCCTTGTTCTTATTTATTGCTTTTTATCATCTTGACTATTATTTAGTTTGATGTAGGCTAAATATCAAGGTTTGATGATCACATTTGTTTTTGATTTTCCTAAATTCTTTGTTCTTTTCTTATTTCTATAACAGATGTTGAATAATTTTTGGTAGGGCAGTGAAATGGTTTGTTTCATCAAAGAGAATATATGTGGCCATTGGCCATCAACACTAGAATAGCTAGATTTGCAGATGGGCCTCTATTTATTGGATGAAGTCTTCAAATATCTTTCTTTGGCCTTTAGCCCTCCTGAAGGTTTATGCTCTGAATGTTTCATCTGATGAATGTAGGTGTGTCCAACCAGGATATGAATCATAAGTATATGATATCTAGTGTAATTTAAAATGGCTAATGTTCATAGATGTACTTTAAGTGTTGAGCTTACACTTGTTTTTGAAAAATTGTTCATTGTAAAGGTGTGTTTGTGTGCTCTTTTGACCCGTTCCTTATGGTTATAAGCTTGTCAAATGTATCGATACAATAATTCAGTGTGTACATGTATCTTTAATAATTAAGTGGTATTTTTCTTTTTTCTTAGGAGCATCAGTAGATGGAGAAGGTACTGCAAGACCCTCACAGTTTTCCTTTCAAAATTTTCCAGATATTGATGGAAGGGATTGTGAAAAAATGAGCAATATGGGAACTCTTAATTCGTCCATGCTCAATAGAAGCACAGAGTCTTTGAAAAGTTTAAGTTCTGAGATTTGCCAGGAAAAGCCACTTCCAGAAGAAAAACCAGTGCAGATGTCTGCACTGAGACGATCAAAGTCTCAAACAAGACCTCAAGTCAAGTTTTCTGATGATGTAATTGACAATGGTGACTATAGCAACATTGAATTGCGGCAGCCGCCAATGAGTGAGAGGAGTAGGCGTAGGGTTTATAATTTTGAGGAACGCAGTCAAAGACCTCATCATCATCGTCGCAGAAAAAGTCGTAAATCCCGATCTGAAAACGCACTTCATCTTGCGGCAGATAAACCATCTGGAAAAGAGAAATTGAGATTTTACACTTCTGAGGATTATGAGCGAATGTTTCAAAATAAAGCACCTCATGAGTTGCCATCATACCTTCAGAATGCTGAACTTCGTGGACAGTACACAAATGCTGCCTCTGGATATGGACTGCAAGGCCAATTTATGGATAAATTCCTGGGGCTATATGGGGAGGACGATGATTCCTGGTGTTCAACCTGTTCATCCTCATCTTCAGATTCAGAAGAAGAGGGGTATTTTCTTGGACAACCTATCCCTCAGCCATTACAACAAAGGTTTCAATATTACACAGACTTGCCTAGTCCATCGACTGCACTAGCCAGCTCTCATTTTGGCCAAAGGACCACTAAATCCAAAAAGAAAAAGGGACACAAAGGCAAAAATTGTATTATTTCTTAGAGAGTTGTTGGTTCCATAATTTCATTCCTGTGAAGAAAAATACATACATTTTTAAACTAGAAAGACTTATTATGGTTGCTACTTTTTTTTTTCTTTGCTAATGTAATATAAAGAGGATGGCTGGTGTTTACAATTCTTAATTTCCCCGGATCAAGTAGCAGACCTGGATGAACCATTTCAGGTTTGACGTTATTTTGCATTTTATCCAATAATGCTCTTTATAATACAACCTAGGATCACGCTTCACACTCTGATGTACAAAGACTTCCCTTTTCCATTTATATAACTGAGATGCTCTCCTGTCTTTGGACATTTCAGTCCACGACACTCTGATGATTCAAGGATACATATTCTTTGAAGACTCCGTATTTTGTGATTTCATATTTTACACATGGATATCTTCGTTTTCCGTACTGGCACCTTAGTTACCAAGGATGCAATCAATATTTTTTTTTTTCTTTTTTTATTGAAGTTAAAAAGATATGCACATGGACATTTTAAAGTGAACTAGTTTCATTTTGTACTTTTTTGTTTAGCCAGTATTGTTGAAGGATATTAAGTTCTGAAAATATTTTAAGTCTTTGCTAAGTGTAGAATATTTAGCTGCAAATTATTTATAATGTAGCATTTTAAACAAATTTAGCCCTAATTTAACTGTTCAAATAATGTATATATTGTATATGTTAAATCCAGAAACTGATATTTTTTATATCCCTCAAGATATCATTATTATGGACATTGAGAGAAGCATTACTGTTGATATTTTTAACGTTCTTGGAGGACCTGTAATAAGTCAGATCGTGACGGGACTTTCAATGATGCAGAAGCATTTTGTTGTCAAAGTCCCCTTTGCTGTTGAACAAAAAAAGCAAAAAAAATACCCTTTTTTTCAAAGTTTACTGGAACAACCACCACAATAGTTTGCTTCTCTTAAACCTTTGTTTGTAATAATTGCTAAGTTTGTTTTGGTATTTTTGAAAGATTGACTCACTTTCTGTGGATTAAAATATAAACAATTTGCCTTACTGGTTTGATGTATCTTTTTTGTTGTCGTCATTTTTTTATTTCATTCACTTCATCGCTATCCAGGTATAAAGCATGACAAAGTAAAAAATAAAACCAGGTAGGCACACCCAATGATAAATATAGACTTGCCCATAAATGGAGCTCTATAAAAATAAGATGTAGGGTGCTCACTTACAATGAGGCTCTATCCCCAAAAGTCCAAAAACATGTAAATACAAATAAAGTAAGGAGCACAACCGTAAATGTTTATATACAAAAAAATCTTTATTCAATGGGTACACTCTATTGGAATATCTCATTGCATAACAATCCAATATATTGGATATTTTTTTTTTTACATGTATTTATGTTTGTGGGGTTGGATTATATTGGTATTTCATTTTACTATTCTATATACTGACATTTTGCTATTCTTAGATTACGCATTTGGCGTTTATATCCAGATATCCAGAATTGTTCTGGTTGTTGCTTTATAGTGTGATATGACCCAATATCTTGGATTGTTATGCAATGAGATATTCCAATAGTGTACCCATTGAATAAAGATTTTTTTTTTTTTTAATTTTAATGTAAACATTTATGGTCGTGCTCCTTACTTTATTTGTATAAAGCATGACAAAAACATATAGATTATTAACATGTTTTATATTAGTCTTAACTGTCCTAAACAACATGAGTCGTATGATGGGAAGTTTTAAGTCATGTAAAAAATGTCCTTTGGGGGTTATTTTGCGGGGGAGGTTTAAATTATTATTTTTATCAACATAATAAAAATTGGCTTGTAAATTGTTCTTGCACACATCCCTAATCTGAACTCTTTTGAATTACTTTGTAGTAAAATTTTGAGTCAGGACTCAGAATGTGATAGCAGATAAGAACCATTCGGCCCATCTAATCTGCCCAATTTTCTAAATACTTTCATTAGTCCCTGGCCTTATCTTATAGTTAGGATAGCCTTATGTCTATCCCACGCATGCTTAAACTCCTTTACTGTGTTAACCTCTACCACTTCAGCTGGAAGGCTATTCCATGCATCCACTACCCTCTCAGTAAAGTAATACTTCCTGATATTATTTTTAAACCTTCGCCCCTCTAATTTAAGACTATGTCCTCTTACTGTGGTAATTTTTCTTCTTTTAAATATAGTCTCCTCCTTTACTGTTGATTCCCTTTATGTATTTAAATATTTCTATTCTATCCCCCCGTCTCGTCTTTCTTACATATTAAGATCCTTTAACCTTGTAAGTTTTATCCTGCAAGCCATGAACCAGTTTAGTAGCCCTTCTCTGAACTCTCGCCAAAGTATCAATATCCTTCTGGAGATACGGTCTCCAGTACTGCGTACAATACTCCAAGTGAGGTCTCACCAGTGTTCTGTACAATGGCATGAGCACTTCCCTCTTTCTACTGCTAATACCTCTCCCTATTAAGGGTGTTCTAATGCTGGCTGACCACTCTAGTCCACAAACTGTGTAAAAGTGGTTTGTTTAATAAGGGTATTACCATTTTAGGGGCTCAGAGTAGAATATTTAGAGTGACATCATCATAAAGAAAAGTTTGTATTGTGTAAACTAGTACAATGTTTTTGAAAGGGTTGTCTGGGGTTTATTATAGATCTGTCTTCAATAATCGGGTCCCAGTTTCCTCTGTGCTAAAACATTTTTATGATCTTTTGTAGAGGGAGTCCAAATTATAATCTAGGTGTTCAGTTTCCAATAAAAAAAGTGATGAGAATGTATCTGTAGCTGCATATCAAAGAGTAGAAAAGTTTTGAAATAAATGTCAAACTTCCAATAGACACAAAATTAGGACATACACAGGCTTGGCACCTATGTCCAACCTCAAGAGGTGTTCTGGATTAATTACATTGCATTCATGATCCAATCGAAGTTCTGGATCTGGCCTTGCTTTGGTGATGAATAAGAACACCTTACCTTCATGTTGGCGATTCTTTAATTGTACAGCTGTACAAAACCGGCTATGGAAAGACAATATTTGGTGACCCTACAATATAAAGGAAGTTGAGAATTGTGACATGGCAAAATTAACTCCAATTCTTTGTTTCGTAGCCATGATTTAAATGTAACTATGGAGCCAGATTGTAATTCCAAACACAAAACATTTACCAAAACTTTTTATTTTTTTTATGGAAACTAATTAAATGGTTTAAAATAACGTTACGTTTTTATATCAAAATAGAAACAGAATAAACCCAAACTCAGCCTATCTGTGGCTAAAACAAAATGCTGGTCATTGTAACTAAATATAAATGCTGTGCTTGTTTAATAATAAGTGCACTATATGTGGGCAAGAGGCTTTGGGAAAGTTATAATTTGTGACCAGTGCAGATGGTACACATGTCTATACATTTCCAGCACATCAGTGTATCCCAGACCAATGGTCTGCTGTAGTAGCTGCATCATTCAAGTTTATTTAATGAAGAATTGATCTTTTAGAAGTTTGTCAGGTCATTAAATGAAGTTTCTTTTAAAGGTGATCGTGTGAGTGAATAAAGCCAGTTAGATTGCACAATGTTTTGTAATCCTTGCGTTTTTGATTAAAACATTGAATCTCTTCCAAGTTCAACACCACTTTCCTAAGATTGTATTTAAGAAAATAACATTTATAACCTCTTCTTTTTAAATGCAATAAAGGAAAAATATAATGTAGTAAATGATGTTAATAAGACAAGATCTTGATAAATATGATTATCTCCCTGTACGCCCTGTACTCGGTTCATATAACTGCAAAGATTTGTGAAAATCTGCATGTCCCATTTTAAACACTGTAATGATACAAACTAAACCAGATGGCTCAAGGGACAATATCGTTGGTTTAATTCCAAAGGAATTGCATTAATGTTGACTGTGTGCTAGAGAATAAGGAATGCGTGCAGTCTATTTTACACATTGATCAGAGCTGCAGGATACATTGGCACATATTAAATAAAGTTTCCTACTATGCGTCATGATATTTAAAGCACTTTAAGTTCACAAGTATTGATTATGCAGTTCGTTTGGAATCATCCCCTCCTAGAACTGTAAAGGAGGAAGGGTGTCTATTTAACTCTAGACTAGTTACCACGTCATAAAAGCAAGAAACCTGAGGGGGGGGGGAAGCTCCATTCTATAGATCCGAAGAGGTTGTCTCAGTAGGTCAAGAGGTCAAGTAAAACAAGACTGAATGAGGAGTTGTTCTTGACTCCTTCAGTCTGTACATTTCTTTATCCTTGTTATATCTAATTACAGCTATATTCATCTTCTACAACTGTAAAGGTAGGTGTATGATAACGTAACGTTTTATAAATAAATTATATATATACACACACACGGTTTTCTTTCCCCAACAAAATAATGTAACCATAGCTACCCATCACTAGACACTTATCTATTATAAAAAAACACTGGCACCTATTACAACATGATGATACTCTTAAGAAAATCATACCAGAAAGACCAAATATTGTCTTTAGAGGAGCCCCTAGGTTAAAATCTATTCTAACCTCCAACTACACAAAAGAGCACAAAAAAAGTCACAAACCTGTCTTTTACCTAATATCAAAGGGTTCTTTAAATGCAAACACTGTAAAGTATGCAAATGCACAGATCAGTCGATTAAAACTAAAACCACACACTTTCAGTCTAATAAAACCAACACAACATATAACATCAAGGATTTTATTACATGTACTACAAAGAATGTAATCTACCTCCTAGAATGCCCATGTGGATTACAATACGTGGGCATGACCACAAGAAGTCTTAAAACACGCTTAGGTGAACACTGCCGGAATATTATTAATGGATACCAGAATCATACGGTATCTAAACATTTTATCATTCATAATAAGGATCCTGGCCTTTTAAAATGTATTGGCATAAAAAAATGCACCATTCCATGGAGAGGAGGTAACATCAAAAATATTTTAGGAAAATGTGAAATGGAATGGGTCTTTAATTTAAAAACATTGGTTCCAAATGGTTTAAATGCAGACTTCGATTTATTTAATTTTATCTAAATATTTTACATAACATTACCACTCTTCTTATTATATCTTATTTTAACATATATTAAAATGTTTTATGTGCTTATGCCCTTATTATTTTTATATTAGCATTTTACATATGTATATGTTTTATTATGTTATTATGTTTTAATACTCCTATTTTGTTTTATGTAAAGATGTGCCACCTCTAACATGGCCACCTATTTAACTATTCACCTAGCCTATATTCCCCTCCCAAGATGGCTGCTGCCATTATGTTTCCACTAGTAATCCTTCCCCCTGTGGTTTCACAACCACTCCCCCCTTCCCTAACCCCATAGCATATCCAGTGAGATTGACATGTAGTCTAACCTTAAACTACATGTCCCATACTCCCTCCGAAACCGGAAGTGACGTCACGTCCGGTACTCACGTCACGTGCCCCTCCCATTGGTGTTCCTCCCTCCCTCCCACCCTGTAAGCCCAATGTTGGGCTCTATTTGCATTAGGGACATGTAGTCTAGCCACAGACTACATGTCCCATGACCTCGCCGAACCGGAAGTGACGTCGCGCTAATGACGCGCGTCACATGGTTCAGTTCTAAAATGTAAATACAATGTAATAAATGCTCGTTTTTGTATAAAACCTATGTCATTAGCATTATATAAGTTATATAAATCTAACCTTTATTCAGAATTGTTGTTATGAAAGTGTAAAAACGATCTGTTTAACTATTGGTTGTAAAATTTTGGCGCCAATTTTATAATTATTTTATACCTATATAAACCCTAACTAGCCAGGTAGAATTGTTTGTTATCCATTGAGAAAGCCTTACATTGGTGAAACGCGTTTGGATATTTTATACTATTTTATATATTGTTAATAAAAGATTTTGGTCACTTTTACATATAAACCATCATCTTTTTTATTACCTGGCTATTTTAATAACTTTCTATTTATATATATATATATATATATATATTTTTATTATTTTTTTATTTTTTTTATTTTTTTTTTTTTTATTATTTTAAGTCCTGTATACCATACTCCAAGAATCCCAGGTGGGGATTATACCACCTACGCTGTTACATAGAGCAGTTAGCCTGCCCTATACACTGTGAGTATATTTTATTATTTTATTTTACCATTCAAGATTTTATTGAGAGCACTATCGCTGTTTTACCTTCTCTTCGAGCTCCTGATACTTCGATCAAGATCACTCCTCATATATCCCATAAGCGGGGATGATACCGCTGTACGCCTAACCAACTAGAGCTAGCCTAAGCTCTACCGAATGTGAGTGTATCTATCATATTTTATTATATTTTTTATCAGTGTAGAACATACTGCACCATTACTGTCTTCATTTTATCTTCCCCAACTACGGCCACCTGCTACCACAAAGAAGAGGACACTTGCCGAATATCCTGTAAGCGGGGATAATACCGCTGCGAGCTATCCACACCAGAGCTGGGTTAAGCTCTGTTAATTGTAAGTAAGATCTCTTCTACTTCTTATATTTGGACTACTCTCCACGATACCTGTACCTTTTGAACCCCACCAAAAGTAGAACTTTGGACACGACAATATACATTGGACTCAACACTCAGTGTACACATCGGCGCAGACCCATCCCCCATTTTTTCTGCTCCTACTATTTGTATTCCAAGGACACCAGAGGGAATCCTTGTTTGGGACTGCTGCCTCTCTGACTAGCGCTGACTCAACCTCCCATTTTACTTATCTATAAAACTTTTAAATTCACGTGTTGGTACTCTTTACAGATCCTTTGTGGGAGGACTCAACTCTGAAAAAAATTCCCCCCAACTTGGGCAAGGGTAAACACAGAGAGAGACCGGCTTT